CAGGTGCTTCTCCTGGTCTTCCATGCGGGTGCAGAGCCCAAGCACTTGGGCCATCCTCCACTGCACTCCCGGGCCACAGCAGAGAGCTGGCCTGGAAGAGGGGTAACCGGGACAGAATCCGGCGTCCCAACCGGGACTAGAACCCGGTGTGCCGGCGCCGCAGGCGGAGGATTAACCTATTGAGCCACGGCACTGGCCAAGGCTTCTTTCATTTGGCATGTTTTTTAGATTCATCCATGTTATTGTAAATACTCGTTCATCATTCATTTTTATTACTGAATAGTATCCCCTTTTATGAATGTACCGCAGTTTGTGTAGGCATTTTCACGTTAATCGACACCTGGGCTAGTCCAGCTATTCTGACTATAATAAATAAAGCTATCTGCTTATCCTTAAGTAAGTCTTTGTGAGGACATATGCTGTCATTTCTTTTGGATAAGTACAGTGTAGTATGTTAAAAGACATCCATGCTAGACAGCACTTCACACCTATTAGAATGGTTGCAACGAGAAAGACTGGCAATTGTTGATTAGGATGTAGAACACCTGAGACTCGTAGTTTACTTGAGGGAGGATGAAATCAACCAAAGTCTGGCAGTTTCTTAGAAAGTTAAAAATGTACCTCCACTATTATCTTGTAATCCTCCTTGGTATTTACCCAAGAGAAAGGCAGTACATATCCACAAAAAGAAACATACAGAAATGTTGATGGCACATTTTGGTGATGTTACCTCCTAACACAAAAGCTGGCAGTCATGCAGGCGTTCATCAGCAGGAGACTGAGGCAGTGGACTACTACTTGGCAATATACAAGAGTGAACTGCTGATACAGTCTGGATTCACCTCAAACACATGAGCATGAGAAGCCAGTGACCAGCCAGTGTTCTTACTGTATGATTCTTTTTATTTTGGTTCAAGAACTTAGAAAAGTGATTATAAGGATAGGAAGAACCTAGTAGGAAGTACAGGGAAACTTGCTGGGATGACTTAGATGTTCTGAACAGTACTTGAATGGCTGACAGTTATAGGGGTATATGCATTTATCAGATTGTCGTAAAATATACATTTAAGTGCATTTCACTATAAATAAATTTTACATCAACAAAAGTGAAAATAAACTCTAAATAAGGAAGTATATTTTATGCCTATTCAAAATTGAACCTATGTGGACAATTGCTTAGAAAACTGATGGGATTAAAAGGGATTTAGGGTAATATGCTAGATTTCTATACAACTCAATTTAAAATTCTTTTAGAATTCTAAAAGAAAGTGAGAATGGGATGGAGGGAAGGATGAAGAGGGAATGTACAAGAATGAGAATATCCCATTGAGACTTAAATAAGATCTCATGCGACAGTCATAAACCGGAATCTCTCATTGATTAACCTGAGTTCTTGTTGGAGACTGGCTCTCTGCAGATGTACCAGGAGAATGAATTAATTCCCCATATGCATTCTTCTTCCAGAAGCAGCAATGTACATTTTTTTTTTTTTTTGACAGGCAGAGTGGACAGTGAGAGAGAGAGACAGAGAGAAAGGTCTTCCTTTGCCGTTGGTTCACCCTCCAATGGCCGCCGCGGCCGGCGCGCTGCGGCCAGCGCACCGCGCTGATCCGATGGCAGGAGCCAGGAGCCAGGTGCTTTTCCTGGTCTCCCATGGGGTGCAGGGCCCAAGCACCTGGGCCATCCTCCACTGCACTCCCTGGCCACAGCAGAGGGCTGGCCTGGAAGAGGGGCAACCAGGACAGAATCCGGCGCCCTGACCGGGACTAGAACCCGGTGTGCCGGCGCCGCTAGGCGGAGGATTAGCCTAGTGAGCCGCGGCGCCGGCCAGCAATGTACATTTTAATGAGGGGCCTCAGTATCTGGCCTGTCCCTACCAGATGCTACCATAAGTGAGAAGTTCTAAGTATATCAAGACATTTCACAATTATTTATTACTCCTCGGAAATAAAATGTCAATGTTTTTCAAGGTTTTATCAAATCAAAATGTCTTTCACTATGAAATTGATCAGTCAACCAGTAGGTGATGATTTTTGTATACTTTAGGGACTGATATTCCAAATACCTTTTTTAAAAAAAGATTGATTATTTATTTGAAAGGCAGAGCTACAGAGAGGCAGAAAGAGGGAGAGGGGGGTCTTCCATGTGCTGGTCCACTCCCGAAATGGCCACATCGGCTGGAGCTGTACCAAACTGAAGCCAGGAGCCTGGAGCTTCTTCCAGGTCTCCCATGTGGGTGCAGGGGCCCAAGGACTTGGGCCATCTTCTGCTGCTTTCCCAGGCCATAGCAGGGAGCTGGATCGGAAGTGGAGCAGCCGGATCTCAATATGGGATGCCAGCGCTGCCGGTGGCAGCTTTACTCACTACGCGACAGCTGTGGCCCCCCTTACAGTAAATTTCTTGACTTATTTGCAGATTTTCTCTTTGTCTAAATTCATTTTTAGAATAAGATCACAAATTTGGGTCTTCTTCATTCTAGTTCACCATACCTTGTACACTTTTTTTTTCTTCTTCATTCTAGTTCACCATACCTTGTACACTTTTTTTTTATATTTCTATGACTTTATTTTTAGTTTTTTTTTTAACTTTTATTTAATGAATATAAATTTCCAAAGTACAGAATATTGATTACAATGGCTTCCCCCCCCATAACGTCCCTCCAACCCACAACCCTCCCCTTATTCACTCCCTCTCCCCTTCCATTCACATCAAGATTCATTTTCGATTCTCTTTATATACAGAAGATCAGTTTAGCATACATTAAGTAAACGAAGTTGGTGGGTTTCCTGTGCCATCCTTTCCCAGTAACTGTCCCCCCCCCAAAAAAAAAAAGAGTCCTCATTGGCATACTCAGAGACAAGTTTGCTTGCCCTCATTTTCTTCTCTTATGCATGGAGACTGCTGTATACTGTATCTTCATAATAGTGTTTCCCGGTAATTTGTTACTGAAACTGTTCCATAGCTGTCCTCTCTCTTCCCCCTCACAGCTGGAGGTTCTCTCCCTATGCCAGTGTAGAGGTTGTCAGATCTTGAGTCAGTCAGGAAACCTTGGTCCTGCTGTCTGCCGTCTGTTGTTTGCTCTGTCCTGTTACTGAAGCCTGGAATAAATGTTCCTAGTAGTAGATTCGATATCCACTGTTCCAGCTGTAGAGCTAGACCCCACCCCATGGCAGTCCTTACACCTGCTCACCACTTCTCTTTTCCCTCCCCTGCTCTGTCTCCCTGTCTCTGTGTCACACACACACACACACACACACACACACGGCATAACCCCACAGAGACTAGACTTAGGAACTTCATCCCTTCAAGGAATACTGATTTCTCACCTGTTAGTTATCAGGCACTGCTTCAGGCAGTAGGGTTACAGTGATAACCAACCAAGTCTCCCTACCCCCCACCAATGGAGAGCATTTTAATGTCCAGAAACAAACATATACTCAATGTCAGGAAAATGCTAAGAATAAAAATAAAGCAGGATAGGGAATAGAAAATGATAGGGAAAGAGGTGCTATTTATAAAGGCAGAGCGACAGAGAGGGAAGGAGGGAGGGAGAGATCTTCCATCTGCTGGTTCACTCCCCAAATGACTGCAGTAGCCAGGTCGGCCAGACTGAAGCTGGGAGCTGGGAAATTCAGCCAGGGGCTCAAGTACTTGAGCCGTCTTTACTGCTTTCTCGGGTGTATTAACAGGGAGCCATATTAGAAGCAGAGCAGCCAGATCTGTAACCAGCACTCTGATATTGGAAGCTGGCATCACAACGGCAGCTTAACCCAGCTTGCCACAAAACCAACCCCAAGAGGTGCAATTTTAAAGTTAGGTTATAGAGGAAGTGTCTGATTAAGTGATATTTGAGTAGTATTTGAATGCAGTAAGGGTTCTGAGGGAAGACTTTGCCTCGGGGGGAACTTTGGTATCCATGCTGATCTCCCTGGCCCTTTGTACTTCCTGCCCTCCACACCACACCACCCCCAGCTACCATTTGAATGAATGAAAACACCGAGTTACTACACATACAAGCTTGAGCCATTATGTGGAGTCCCGTGCCTGTATCCTGATTAGATTACCCTGATAGTGCCACCAATTTGGGCTCCCAGCTGACAGGAAAGAGGAATGGAGGAACAGAGCTTGGCAGTGGAAGGTTTTTTGAAGCCACAGAGGAGTAGCTCTTTCTCTGGTGCCTCTGATAGCTGAGTAACAATAACAACTATATCATTTATTAAGCTCCTGATTGCATGCCAGGGATTCTAAACTGCCCTTCAGTTGATGACCATAGCCACCCTATAAGAAGGATGTCACTGGGGCTGGCGTTGTGGCTTCGCGGGTGAAGCTGCTGCCTGCGAGGCCAGGAGCCTGGAACTCCGTCCAGGTCTCTCACATGGGTACAGGGGCCCAAGCACTTGGGCAGTCTTCCACTGCTTTCTCAGGCCATTAGCAGGGAGCTGGATTGGAAGCGGAACATGCGGGACTCAGAACTATCACCTGTATGAGATGCCGGCTGAAACTGTACACCACAATGCCAGCTGAGTTAGGAGAAAGACTTGTACTAGTCCAGGCAAGAGATGACATCGTTTAATAATTTCCTGACATTTCATCAAGTTAATTTTCCATAGTTCTGCTATCTTACTACATTTATGTTTCTACGGACATGAATGTATTTGGTATTACTCAAAAAAAAAAAGTTACATCTTGTTCATTCTTTTTAAAATTCTTATTCTGAATTACTTCACTAGCACAGTTTCCCAGGACTAATTCTTTTGGGTCAAAGGAAATTAGTAGTTTTGGCTCCTGCTTATGAATTATCATAATTGCTTGTAATTAGCTTAGAGTATGGACGTCCATGTAGTGGGCCAGATGTGACCTTTAGAATCATTTTGTCAGGTTAAGCAAAACTGAAGATTTTGATTAGAATAATTTTATTTTGAAATTAGCAATAAATTAACAGAACAGTGTTTATATTGTGTTTCTAGTAACTGTTTTCTAACGAAATTTATGTTTAATAGATTGATGAACTCCCAGAGGGAGCTGTGAAGCCTCCAGCAAACAAATACCCTATCTTCTTTTTCGGCACCCACGAAACGTAAGTTAACGAAGTAAAGTTTCCACAGCTGTAACTTGACTCTGCTAGACTTCACTGTTTATAGACTATCTGCAATGTCTTACGTGTTGTCAAAAATCATATAGTCACACAAATCACTGACCTAATGCAATACTTTTCTTAATAGGAAGACTTTTCATCATTGTTAACGATCAGGGCAGAGCTGGGCATCCGCCCGCGGTGCTCTGATGTGGGACATGGGGGTCTCAACCATGTCTTCGTCACAGGCCAGACGCCAGCCCGCACTTGTTTTAGAATAGCTCTGGCAACAGCTAGAACGTGATAACATGGCCAGTTGTCAGTCATTCCTGGAGGGTGATAGTAAAAAACATATCGTTTATTTGTAAGAAAGACATGTGTCTCCTACATCCAAAGGTGGTGTAAGGGATGAGATATAAATAAGGAAGGCTGGAAATGATTAAGTCTTACGTTAGAAAAGCGTGACCATTAATCCCAACTCTTGTGGCACTATTGGAGCATAGACGTGCTCTGGCTAGCACCGGTGGCTGACGTGAACACAGGCAGCTTACCTCGCGGTGATTTCCTGTAGGTAGAGTCAAAGGCTGGGAAGGTCGGAAGCCGCAGTCTAATCATTCCTGACAGATCCCTCTCAGTGAAGCGTCCACAGATAGCGTTCATTTCTTTGTCACATTCAGCTGGTGAAGTAGGACTTTGACGTGTTTGTGATGAAAATGTTCACAGGTTATTTCTGGGTTTAATGTGATGGAATCAAGCTGACGGAGCAATTAAAGGTCAACAGTAAGAAAAGCTTTGGTGATTCTTAAACAGCTCTGGTGTCAAAAAGCTTCCACGAGTGTCTGTCAACTTGAAGTGTTTGATCAGCTGGACAATGTAAATTATCAATACTGAGGCCCATTAAAATGGAATTTATAAACTTGTAAACCTGCTGTCTGAAGCTGTCAATATCAGCTGTTTGCTGATGGTTTCCAAGTGTGTGTTTCCAGCTCAGACCTTCCCCCTAACTCCAGATTCATCTTTCCAGCTGCCCACCTGATACCTTCGCTCGGATAGCTAACTGGAATTTCAAACTTGACATTCAAAACTGAGCTTTTTACCCCTGCATCTTACCCTCCCCCAAATCTTCCCATCTTAGTAAATACCAACTCTGCTCTCATTTCTGACTCTAAAACCTTGGAGATGCCCTTAGTTCCACCTTTTCTTCACATGCCGTGTTCAGCACATCTACAAACCACTGGGCTCTCGACGATGAAGTCAGGATCCAGCCACTTACTGGCGGCCTCACTGCTTATACTCTGCTGCAAATCACCGGCCTGCTTCAATAGCCTTCTGGGTGGTCCTCCTGCCTCCACCCCATGACCCAGTCAGTCTGCTCAACACAGCAGCCAGAGTGATACTAGTTTTAAGCCTCATATCATTGCAAAACCTTTGTAGTGGCCTCCAGTGTCCTGCGTAGTCTGTACCCCTATCTGGCCCACTCCTCACTGCAGGCACAGTGGCCTGGCTTTCTCAGACACATGAGGTAGGCTTTCTGCCGCCTCACGGCTTCTGTATTTGGTCTCTCTGCAGCCTCTTCCCCACCTCGGTGTATGGGTTGTACCTTCACCTCCTTTAGTTAATTACTTGGATATCTTCTTGGTGAAGCCTCTCCAGCTCTGTGTACCTAAAATTGTAAAATCAACCCTCCTTCTCTGGTGTATGTATGCAGTGACTTATTTTAGCACACTGTATATTTCACTTCCCTTTGTTATCATCCATACTCCTGCCCCTCCCACTAGAACGCCTGTTCTGTGAGGGCAGAGATGTTTGTCTCTGTTTCCTGCAGCATCTCCAGCAGCTCTGGAATCATGTCTTGACATGGAGACGTTCAGTTAATATTTTCTGAATGATGAGTGTAGCTCTGTTTGACATGTAAGCTCGAGGGGCTCCCTCAGTCACTCCACCCCCATAGTCTAATGCTGAAGATGCTAGCTGGAGTGCTCAGGTCTGTTAGCCAGGCCCAGGATTCATTCTAACTCATTTTTGCATGGTTATGATTAACTTAGGATTTGGCTTAAACTGGATAAGATTCTGGATATTTTGCCACTTCTAGTTTTTTTCTGGCTTAATTCTCCATTAAATATAATATTTTTAATTTATGGAAATAATAGTGAATAAAGATAATGATGTGGTATGTAGAGTTAGAACTCTTGTATTCCAATGTTCATAGATAGATAGGTAGCTAGATAGATAGATACAGGTATTTTAAGATTCAGTTATTTATTTGAAAGAGTTACAGAGAGAGTGGAAGGTCTTCCATCCATCGATTCACTTCCCACGTGGCCACAACAGCCAGAGTTGGGCCAGGCCAAAGCTAGGAGCTTCATCCAGTCCTCCCACATGGGTGCCAGGGGCCCAAACACTTGGGCTTTCTTCAGCAGCTTTTCCCAGGCTATTAGTAGGAAGCTGAATTGCAAGTGGAAGAGCCAGAACACAGACCTGCACGCTTACGGGGTGCTGGTGTCACAGGCAGTGGCTTTGCCAACTGTGCCCTAACACGGGTCCCAGTGTTCATACCTTTAATTGTAAATCTCACAAAGCCCTTACCTATGTTAAGATTAACATAGCTATATCTTAGTTTAAATGATATACATGGTCGAAGTAAACATAAAACAAAGAAGATGTTGGTAATTTAACAGTAAAATTGGGCCAGAGTTGTGATGCAGCAGATCAAGCCGTCATCTGCGTCTCTGGCATCCCATTGAGCGCCAGTTCAGGTCCTGGCTGCTCTGCCTTCTGATCCAGCTCCTGCTAATGAGCCTGGGAAAGAAGATAGCCCAAATATTTGGGCCACTGCCACCCATGTGGGAGACCCAGATGGGGTTCCAGGCTCCTGGCTTCCTCCTGGCCCAGGCCCTGCTGGTGCAATCATTTGGAAAGTGTACCAGTAGGTGTAAGATCTCTCTTTTTCTCTCTGTCTCTCCCTCTTTCTCTCTCTCTAACTCTGCTTTTCAAATAAATAAATAAATCTTTTTTTAAAATAATAAAAGTAAAATCAAAGTAGTGCAACCTAGTAGTATTTTCCACCTGTCCATTTTTTCTGAAGTATGTATCTAAAACATCTTGATATGTGCCTAACTTAGAAGGATTCCCTTTAATTTAAATTTGTTTACTGTAATATGCTCTGACACCTTAATTGATACTGATATTTAAATATCTTACATCTGAAGTTCAGCATGTCAATTCTATTTTTAATATATCTCTGCAGTGCATTTCTAGGTCCCAAAGACCTTTTTCCATATAAGGAATACAAAGACAAGTTTGGAAAGTCCAACAAACGGAAAGGATTTAATGAAGGATTATGGGAAATAGAAAATAACCCAGGAGTAAAGTTTACAGGTTACCAGGTAATGGTTTAGTTTACTTCGTTGTCACTGACTGTGTCTCAACCTTTGGTTTAAATTTTTCATCAGCTCTGTTACATGTCCTTTGTATTAAGTCACCTTGCATTCATTTGAAGTGAGAATTCTTTTTGGCCCCAGTGTCATGTTGGGTTAGATGTAACTCTTTTACTGACAAGAGTTCAAGTCAAGTGACCGCTGGAATATTGACTTTGATAGCCCTTTATTTTAAAAACCTTAAGAGGAAGCTGAATGCTATCAAATTAAAATTGAGTGATTCCTTTCAGTTTGCTATTTTATTTTCAAAAATACAATTTTAGCTGGTGTTTTATTATTTCGTAGGCAATTCAGCAACAGAGCTCCTCGGAAACGGAGGGAGAAGGTGGAAATACTGCTGATGCCAGCAGTGAGGAAGAAGGTGATAGAGTAGAAGAAGATGGAAAAGGCAAAAGAAAGAATGAAAAAGCAGGCTCAAAACGGAAAAAGTCATACACTTCAAAGGTTACTGCGGCGCTGCCTGTTGTTGTTGACGTTGCATGCATGTTCACTGAGAGTTTCCGGATAATTTTTCAGTTTGTTCGTAGGGACTAGGTCTGTGGAATTTCTTACCTCTAAAGAAGACAAGCAGAGGGAATAGGGCAGGTCACCTTAGATGTTGGGGTAATGTGGCTGTTGACGCTTTCGGGCCGATTTGGCCTTGAAAATACTGCCTGCTCGTTGGAGGAGGACTGCTTCAGTGGAAGATAGATGAGTAGCTCTCCCTAGAATGGTACCCTCCAGAGGAGTTGGGAAGGATTTAGAAATACAGGAGACACGATATGATTCGATGCTGTGTCTGTGTGCCAGATACGTAGATTCTTACTTGTTTTTCTGCCTGAGAGAATGTGCTTTGGGTTTTTTATTTATTCCGTTTTTACAGCTTCTAATCAGCTGGTCTATGACAAGCACTGTACAGGGTTGCAAATGCAGCCGCATCCCTCCCCTCATGTAACTTAGAATAGGATGGGAGAACCGCAGTAAACCTGAGTGAATGCAAGTTGCGGAAGGGCCAGGCAGGCCCTGAACGGGAGTGGGGAGAAACAGAATACGGGACCTCTGTTAGATAGGGTTGCCAGGCGTTTCTGCAAAGGTGAGTTTATCAGACCTGGAGGAAGGGTATGCAGGCAGAGGCAGGGGCAGGGTGCAAAAGTCCAAGGTGGGTAGAGTGTGAAAGTTCCTAAACAGAGAGGAGGCAGGTGCGGCTGGAGGATTATAAACAAGGCAGGAGGCAAAGGCCAAGTAATTCGGACACTCAGGGCTTATCAGGGAGTTTGGATCTTATTCCTAATGTAACCATAACCAAAGCTTTTAAACAGAAGAGTAACATAATAGATCGAAAGTCTAGGTTTTTCATATAGTCATTCAAAACTATGAGGTTGTAAAAAGCTTTCACGTTTTAGAAACTGAAAGCAAGATAAATAGATCTTTGAAGACCAGAGATCTGTACAGGTTTCACACTATTGGGTCTGTCACACAATTAATTACATAGATAAAAATTATTTGCACTCAGATTCTTGTTTTTAGAGGCTGCATATACTTAGGAAACTTGAGACAAACAGCTACCAAGAGTTTGTCAGACTACTTATGTTTTATTTTGGCAATCTATAAAATCCCCCCAACTGGCATACCGGTAAAAATTGTGTGAATGCACCTATTGAAAAATACATGATGCCTTGAGTGAGGATAAAGTTTGCAAATGACAACAAAATAGAATTTTTTTTCCTATCAAATTGTATATTCCACTGAAATTATTTTTAGGCTGATTTTATAAAACACTTTGTACTTCACTTGAACAGCCACTTGAATTTTGATAGTATTTAATTTACGGTTGCCTGCTGAGCTTCTGTGTAATGTCACTACTTGCACATTTAGTAGTATGGGAGGGGGCTTTTCAGTGCCACTGTACAGCCCAGAAGTAAGGGGCAATGAGCGAGTAAAGTCACGCTTCACTTCCTAAGGCTGATCTGTTTTAAGTTGAAGGGTAGTTTCCTTCGCTTTCCTTCGAGGTTGTATCTTCCATGATCACTTAAGAACCGTAACATTATAAATATCAACTACGTACCCTAGCACAGTGGTTCTCTGACCATCACATGCATCAGAACCCCATGGACAGCTTGCTCACATGCGTCGTGGTGATACTCACCCCTCAAATTTCTGTTTAGACGTCCAGCATGGAGTCTAGGAATCAGAAGGGACTGGTTCACCAGTATAACCTTGGGTTCTTAAGTAACTATAATTTAAAAGATGAAGGTTAGCTTATGTAACACGTGATCAGGAATAGTAAGATGGCGTCCTATACCTTTCCCACGCTCGTGTTTATTCATTGACAGTGTTCTGGATGCATGAATATTTCCTGCGTTTAATATCACACTTCTAGAAAGGACTAAGAGGTCATCTAGTCATCTGCACAGCCTTTCTAGCTGGCCAAACTGAGCCCCAGTGCGGTGAAAGGACTTGTCCAGTGTCACTTAGCTCACCCTTGCACACTGCATGTGTGTCAAGACAGAGACTGGATGCGAGTCAGCTGCTTCTCATCTCTTGCTTACACGTGTGCATTTGCAGTTCTCCTTTGACCCTGACCTTTAACTTGTCTAAACATTTAGAAATCCTCTAAACAGTCAAGGAAATCTCCAGGAGATGAAGATGACAAAGACTGCAAAGAAGAGGAAAACAAAAGCAGCTCTGAGGGTGGAGATGCTGGCAATGACACAAGAAATACAACTTCAGACTTGCAGAAAACCAGTGAGGGGGTAAGGATATGCTATAATTTATTTCCTATTAAATTAGAAGATCTTTTGCTTCAGAACCAGCATCCTCGTCTCAGCATTATTAAACACTGTGTTGGCAAATGGAGACGTGTTCTCGGCCTGTGCTATGTGAGTACATCCACTCACAGCTCCTGCGTAAGTGATTGGCTGCTTAGAGTGAGAGAATAAGACAGTGGAACAGGAATTACACCTGCCGTCAATTTGGAGCTCCGTCTGCAGGTTTGTTCCTTTTAAACTAATTGCAGCGATGTCAGAGTCTTTTAAAAGTAAGGTGTAAAATACTGAAATTATGAAACTGGACAGCTGTGTTTCTCTTATCACAGAATTGAAGATAAGTTCAAAATAGAGTATTGCGTATCACCACTTCTTTCCCAGAAGTATGTGTAACCTCATAATCCACGTGAACTTTAAATAATTAAGTATTCAAGGATTATTAATACTTGAAATAACTATAGGGTCAAATTTATCTAATTTAACTCATTAACTTTTCGTAACTTCAAAGCTACCGGCAAGTCTACCTTAGGAACAGTGTTAATGTAGGCAGAGTTTTCACCTAGCAGTTTCCACACATCTTTTCTCTGAATAGCTGGACAGTGTCAAATCATTTTCAAATAGTAAGCCATGAAATATGTTGCTACTAGCCGTCTGTCCAACTCCAGATTCAGCTGAGTTCTTGCCTATTGGAGTTGGTCCTGTCCACTTCTCAGCTGTTTCCTGCTTCATCCTAGTTATCTGAAATGACTGTCAAGTAGTGGGAGCCTAATTGCTGTCTGACCTTTGACCCTCACTCTGTCCTCCGCCTGTCTTCTTCCACTCCTGGCGTCTCCCCAGCACATGTCCTCTGTCCTTGCCTGCAGCCTTCCCAGGACACACACCTGCTGTCTATCACTGAGGGCTTGAATACCTGCTCGCTTGAGTTTTTTCTTATCCCACCTGCTGTCTTCATCGCAGGTAGCTTCAATATGCATGTAGCAAACACGCCCACAATTTCCGTCTCCTTTACTACCAAATTTATTTCTAGTGCACTTCTGTGACACACGAAGTTATTCTACAGCCAGAGTGCAGTCCGTGGAAGAGCAGCATCAGTATCACATGGGAGGGAGCTTGTTAGAAATGCAAATCTCAGGCCCAGCTCCAGACCCCAGACAGGAATTATAATCTGCGTTTTAACTAAATCCCCGAGTAAGTCATACGCACGTTAGCTCCAGGAGCACTCATCTGTACCTTGGCATTGCCAGGATCTAGCTCGTGCTCACCTGCTTGTCCCTCCTGTCCGTTGGCTTGGTCCCTGTCCCCTGTGCCTCTAGACAGTCCCAGGTTTCCCCCTGTTGGAGACCTACCTCCAGCGATCTGTCTCCCTCCTCACTTTCTCTTTATCTCTAACCTTCTTAGAAGACTGCTGTTTTCCCCCAGTCTCCCTGTCCTTATCTCCTCCGATTCATGACTTGTAACCCATTGCGTTCCTTTCTTCCCTGACAGCTGCTCTGAAAGGGCCCAGATACTGCCAGACCCAGTTGCTCCTTTACTCTTTGTCTTTACCTCTGTGGCACTTAATACTGTCAGTCACTTTCTCCTCCTCTCTCCCCGTCTGCTTTGTCTGCCTGTTCCTGCTGGTCTCTTTCCAGAGCCCCTTTCTTCCATCCACCTTTGCACACTTCTCTCCTCGGAAAGCTTGCTCTGTGTGTCTTACCTCTCATGTGGTCTCAGCTATTATACATTACTGTCTATCTCCTTGTTTTAATTTTTTTAAAGATTTATGTATTTGAGAGGCACAGGTACAGAGAGAGACAGGGAAAAACAGAGAGGAAATCTTCCATCCGCTGGTTCACTCCAAATGGCCACAACAGCCAGAGCTGGGCCAATCTGAAGCCAGGAGCCAGTAGCTTCTTCCAGGTCTCCCCATTGTGCATGCAGGGGCCAAACACTTGGGCCATCTTCCATTGTTTTCCCAGGCCACAGCAGAGAGCTGGACCGGAAGAGGAGCAGCTGGGGTGAGAACCACTGCCCATATGGAATGTCGGTACCACAAAGGCAGAGGCTTAACTTGCTGTGCCACAGCACTGTCCCCACTGTCTATTTCCTACAGTGTAGATGTATTTTTCTAACAGCTAGTAAAACTGTTTCTTTTTCTTTTTCTTTTTTTTTTTATTTTTATTTTTTGACAGGCAGAGTGGACAGTGAGAGAGAGAGACAGAGAGAAAGGTCTTCCTTTTGCCGTTGGTTCACCCTCCAATGGCCGCCACGGCCAGCGCGCTGCGGCCGGCGCACCGCGCTGATCTGATGGCAGGAGCCAGGAGCCAGGTGCTTTTCCTGGTCTCCCATGGGGTGCAGGGCCCAAGCACCTGGGCCATCCTCCACTGCACTCCCTGGCCACAGCAGAGAGCTGGCCTGGAAGAGGGGCAACCGGGACAGAATCCGGCGCCCCAACCGGGAGTAGAACCCGATGTGCCGGCGCCGCTAGGCGGAGGATTAGCCTAGTGAGCCGCGGCGCCGGCCTCTTTTTCTTTTTTTTAAAGATTGATTGATTTATTTCAGAGGCAGAGTTAGAGAGAAGGAGAGGCAAAGAGAAGTCTTCATCCACTGGTTCACTCCCTAAATGGCCGCAACGGCCGGAGCTAGGCCACTCCAAAGCCAGGAGCCAGGAGCTTCTTCCAGGTCTCCCATGCGGGTACAGGGACCCAAGCCCTTTTGCCTTCCTCTACTGCTTTCTCAGGCCATTAGCAGGAAACTGGATTGGAAGCAAAGCAGCTGGGACTCAAACCAGCATGTATATGGGATGCTGGCACCGCAGGCGGAGGCTTAACCTGCTTCGCCACAGTGCCGCCCCGAAACCATTTCTACTCTAGTAGATTGAAAGCACCTCGGAAAACAGCTGGTGCTGGAGACAGCAGCGGTCCCTGTGGCTCGTGCCGCGTAGATGCTGTGAGTGCCCTCCCTTCAGCTCACACACAGCCCAGTGGGCAGGTGCCGCTCGTGTCTCCATTTTGTAGCTGGGGAAGCTGGGGTTAAAAGAATTGACCCAGGCGCACCACTAGTAGAAGCCAGTGGGAAAGCAAGAGCCTGAGATCCTCTTCTATCTTTAACCTGTTTTTAGTAAGATATTTATTAAATGCAAGGGGACGTACACACACACACGTATGTAAAAGAGCATAGTATCAAAGTGAACGCCAGCGGCCCTATCACACACCCCAAGAACTGAAACAACAGCTTGTGTGGGTTCACATGTTCCTTCCATCCCAACTTTCTGCACAGAGATGAGCACCACTGTTAGATGTGTATTACTTGCTTTCATTAAAAAAATGTTTTTTAAGGTTTGTTTATTTTGAAAGAGTTACCAAGAGAGAGGTAGAGACAGAAAGAGAGAGATCTTTCATACTCTGGTTCTCTCCTCAGATGGCCACAATGGCCGAACCAGGCGGAAGTCAGCTCTGTTTGGGTCTCCTACATGGGTGGGTCAGCTTCCACTGCTTTTCCCAGGCCGTTAACAGGGAGCTGGGCTGGCAGTGGGGCAGCTAGAAATCAAGCTGGCACCCATATGGGATGGCGGTGTTGCAGGTAGTAGCTTTATCTGCTGTGCTACAGCGCTGGCCTCCATTTTAAAAATGTTGGCCCAGGGACCAATGCTGTCGCACAGCAGTTTGAAGCCCCAGCCTACAGCACCAGTGTCCCATATGGGCACCAGTTCAAGTCCCAGCTGCTCCATTTCCAATCCAGCTCCCTGCTAATGCACCTGGGAAAGCAGCAAAGGATGGCCTGAGTCCTTGGCGGCTCCTGCACTCCGGTGGGAGACCCGGAAGAAGCTCCTGGCTCCTGGCTTTGGGTTGGCTCAGCTCTGGCCATTGCAGCCATTTGGGGAGTGAGCCTGTAGATGGAAGACCTGTCTCTGTCTCTACCGCTCTCTGTAACTCTTTCAAATAAATAAATCTTTTTTTAAAAAATGTCAGCCCATACCTCACATATAGGTGTATACAGTATATGGGGGTGCTTCAGAGGGTTCATGGAAAAATGGAATTAAGACATAAGCTTATTTTGATGCAAGACATTTTTTAATTCTGTACAGTCTTTCATGATACACATTTTCATGAACTTCTTGAAGGCCTCAAATACACGGACTCCGAAACTACAGCAGTAGTCGCTCCATCTTTCCATGCTGTGTGCTGCTCGGTGTTGGGAGTGTACCACAGCCTATTTATCAGCTCTCCGCCGAGGGGCGTTTGGTGTGTTTCCAGCGTGGTGCAGTCAGGAGCTGTGGTAGGCAGCCCCTGCTCGTTAGCAAGTGCACATGGAGGAGAGTTCCCAGAGGGCATGTAGCAAGAACAGAAGGGGCTGTCCTGAGTGTGTGGCTTTAATCCTGCCAGATAATGCCAAGTTATTTTTCTTTAATAGTTGGACCAATTTATACTGCCACCAGCAGTGTGTCAGAGCTTTCTGCGATTAACCTGCATTATCAAGACTCTTCAATTTTTGCCAATGTAGTAGGTCTTGTGAAGTGTTAATTTGCAGTTCTCCAGCCATGGTGAGGAGGAGTCTCATCTCTTTCCATGGTTTTTGACCACCCCTGTGTCCTGTTTTGGTCAGTGCTTGTTTTACGGTTCTGCCCATTTTCCTGTTGGATTTTTTTTTAAACTCATAAGGCCTGTCGATTCTGACTAACAAGGATTTTCATTTGCCCTTAAGTGTCTGAAGTTTGTGGCTTCTCCATTCAATTTCTTTCTGACCTTTATAGAAAATAGACTGTCTTAATTTTATTGTCTGCTCTATCAAACTTTTCTTTTTATGGTTAGCATTTTTCTGCCTTGTTTAAGCAAAGCATTTGAACCATTGCTGTTTATTGACTCATCCCTCCTTGCTTGCCTCTCTGAGCTGCAGCGTCATCTGTTATATATCCATGGGTCTCTCTCTGAGTTCTCTCTCCTGTTCCTTTGGTCAGTGCCACGGTCTCTTCATGATAGCAGTTTTCTAGCGAGTGCTAGGATCCCACAGGGAAGGTGGCCTCAAACTGTGTAGCCATGGTCCGGGACAGAGGTCCCGAGGAACTTTTCTTGAGAGAATTTACAGCTCTTAGAATGATCCAAGTGAGGAGCTGTCACACAATTATAATGTACTGGAAAAAAGTGCTGAAACAGTGAATTTCAGAAGGCAAAAAGACATAAAAGTCGTTCCGTGGCAGGCAGGGGCACCATATTTCATCCATTGCAACAGGATTGGCAGAGTATTTGGGGATACAGAGACATGTGTGGATACTTGGGGTGGAACACATAAAAGTTATCTGATTACTTCCATTTCCTTAGGAGACAAAGTCAGCATTTGAGAGTAAGAACAGGAAGAAGTACTGGAAGTTTCAAGAGAGAGGAAAATGTACAAAATAGTCACTTAAAAGCAGAAGAGTGCATGGACTTGGGAAATGAAGCTGAATTGGCAGGCAGCAGTAGGGGCCCACTTAGTGGTCATGACGGTACAGTGAGAGCAGTGGGACGTGGTCAGTGGGCGTGCTGGCACAGTGAGAGCAGTGGGATGTGGTCAGTCAGTGGTCGTGCCGGCACGGTGAGAGCAGTGGGTCTTGGTCAGTGGGCGTGCCAGCACGGAGAGAGCAATGGGGACTTGGTCAGTGGGCGTGCCGGCACGGTGAGAGCAGTGGCTCTTGGTCAGTGGGCGTGCCGGCACGGAGAGAGCAGTGGGGAGGCTGTGTGTGTGCTGCAGGTGTGTTCAGTTACACAGGGAGTCAGAGAGCTGAATTTAACTGGAACTGAAGCTTACCCCAAGAGAAAGGAGTTTGAAGCCAGGGGATTGAGAAGCGCAAGAAAGTTATTGTAACAATGGACCAGAGCATCCAAAATACATAAAAAAGAAAAAGGTAGACTTGAGGAAGAGACTGGATCAACAGATTGTAAATGTCAAAGAATTAGTGGAGTTGGAGTATAAGATAGAGTGAGCTAGGGACCGGCGCTGTGGTGCAGTGGGTTGAGGCCCTGGCCTGCAGTGCTGGCATCCCATATGGGCGCTGGTTCAAGTCCCGGTGGCTCCAGTTCCGATCCAGCTCACTGCTAGTGCACCTGGGAAAGCAGCAGAGGATGGTCCAGGTCCTTGGGCCCCTGCACCCACATGGGAGACCCAGAAGAAGCTCCTGGCTCCGGCCATTGAGGCCATTTGAGGAGTGAACCAGCAGATGGAAAACCTCTCTCTCTGTTTTTGCCTCTCTATAACTCTTTCAAATAAATAAAATCTTAAAAAAAAAAAAAAAAAAAAAAAACAACTACAGACACAGGTGATGATAGAAGAGTGAGCTGTTCGAATCAAATTATGGAAAGTCGCAGCAGTTGGTGGTAACGGTGTGGGTGTATTGGTATAGTGAGTAGAATCACTCTTCATCATGTGAGTGTTTAGGAAACCAGTCGCAGTTAGAACAAGTTGGTGAGTGGAATATCTTGGAAGTTCACGTTGGGAATGTTGGAGATGTTCGTGGCTAACTGTGACTTCCACTGGGCTAGGGGCAAAGAGGCGTTGCGGGGAGGAGGGGTGGGCGATGAGGTCATAAAAGCGCATGCGCAGAGCTCCCAGGGGATGAGAGCCCGGGCAGGGGCGGGTGCTCTGAGCCATCTCTGGCCTCGAGCAGCAGGATGAGACGTGCGTGAGAGCTGACGTCCAGCAGTGGTGGTGCTGAGCTGACGCTGCAGGGAGAGATTCAAGGGCACCCTCTTTGCCCCCACAGGAATCCCGAGGCAGAGGGGCAGGCTGCCTAATCCAGAGCACCTTGGAGCCCCCCTCTTGCCTCTCGTGGATACAAAGTTAGAGGTGACTAGAACACCAAGCACTAATGGGCTTAGGCCTGCTGTATTGGTTATCTGTTGCCGCATAAAAGATTACCCTAAAACCTAATGGGCTTAAAGGAGCGTTTGTTAACAGGGCAACTGGCCTGGTGGCCCAGGCACTGGCTACGACGCACATCCATATCAGAGCACCTGGGTCTGATGCCCTTTTCAAGTCCTGACTCCTGACTCCAGCATCCTGCTAATGCAGACCTTGGGAAGCCAAGATGATGGCTCAGTTGACACCGTCGCTGCCGCCCATGGGAAAGACCTGGATGGACTTCCCAGCTCTGGGCCTCTTGAGGCACTGGGAGAGTGAGCCCGTAGATAGGAGTGCTCCCTCACACTCCTTCTCCCTCCATTTGGACCCACATTCCACATTAGAGAACCTGGATTCAGTTCCTGGCTCCAGCTTCCTGCTGATTAGCAGGCCCTAAGAGGCAGTGGTGATGCTTCATATAATGTTGGGTTCCCAGCACCCATGTACTCTAACACTGAATTGACCTGAATTGAGTTCCAGACTCCTGGTTTCAGCCCCAGCCCTGTCCCAGGCTGTTGGGGGCATTTGGGGAGGAAACCAGCGGATGGAAGCACCCTTGCATTCTCTTGCTCTCAAATAAATGTTTTTAGAAATAAATTGAAAGCAGCACTCACTATGTTGTCTTTCCTGTGGATGGGGGTCCAGGCAGGTACAACTGCGCGTCCTGTGTCTCGGCTTCTCCCAGATGCAGCTAGCCGTCAGCAGAGGCTCAGATCAGGGCGAGGCTCAGCGCGCCGCTGGGGTGGCGCCTCTTCCAGGCGCACTCAAGGAGTTGGAAGTCCTTCCAGATAATTATGGATATTACTATTTGATATTACGTAAATTCTGTAAATAGTAATTTCTTAAGAGTTAGTTGCAGTGTGCCATCTGAATTTTTTGTATTCTGTTAAAATCCACTGGGCTCTCTGGCACTTTGAATAGCTTTTACCCATTTGGAAGATAATGGTTTGCTGTTATACATTTCATTATCAAATATTTTTAATGTTTTTTAAATATTACCACCTGTCTTTTCAAAAAAGTCTTTTAAGTGTTGGGAAGTTGTCACTCATGAAGGATTCAAAATTCTGATTTTCACTTAAACACTCAAATTCTATCATTGGCAACAAATACTGTCAGTTCTTTTCCTTGAATAGGTCGCTTTATTTTTACAAAGCGCCAAATACCTAAGTCTAACTGGCCATATTGAACATCATTTTTTCACATGAAATTGGTGCTCCATGTACCCTGTGAGTCTGCGTCTCATAGTGCCTGCTTCCCGCCAGCCTGCAGTCTCCGAGGGAATGGGATTGGATTCTGCAGCCATTCCCTAGGGTGCATGGCACAGCGCGTGCTGACCGGCGCAGGATGAGCCACTAATGGCAACTGAGAGGAAGACAATTAAAACACCATGTCCAGACTACCTGCCATCATGAATTAACAAGTTAAATTTTTCAGTACATAGATGTAGTGATATGGTGCCAGAGTTTGTTGGTTTTTGTTTGTTTGTTTGTTTGTTTTGACAGGCAGAGTGGACAGTGAGAGAGAGAGAGAGAAAGGTCTTCCTTTTTGCCGTTGGTTCACCCTCCAATGGCCGCCACGGCCGACGCACTGCGGCCGGCACACCGCGCTGATCTGAAGGCGGGAGCCAGGTGCTTCTCCTGGTCTCCCCATGGGGTGCAGGGCCCAAGCACTTGGGCCATCCTCCACTGCACTCCCGGGCCACAGCAGAGAGCTGGCCTGGAAGAGGGGCAACCGGGACAGAATCCGGCGCCCAACCGGGACTAGAACCCGGTGTGCCGGCGCCGCAAGGCGGAGGATTAGCCTAGTGAGCCGCAGCGCCGGCCGGTATCAGAGTTTTTAAAAATCTGATTTTATAATTAACTTTTACAAGCATCCGTTTTTCTATTCCCCCACCCACAGTACCCATTGAGTGTTTTTGTTAATAAATAATTAGGAGTCGCTGGGCACTGCACTTCGCAAGTTCACAGGTTTTAAGTGATTTTTTTTAAGATTATCTTTCTCATTTTGGGAGAGACAGGGAAGGCTAAAAAACATTTCTGTCATCTTGAGGGGCTAGAATGATTTATATACAGAATAGGATAGGTTTGGCTGTCTAAGTGAGAACATTCCCATGAGTGCGCATGCACGTGCTTAAACACAAGTTCATCCACTTTAGTGGAAGAAAGAACGGAAACAGGCTGTTTTCTGAAAAGATGTTTGGGGCCTGAGTTCGCATTCATTCATCCCATGAGAGTGTTACTGGGGAGTTTGATATAGTTGGGTTAATGATGAGGAAACAAAAATAGGATACCTTTGGAGAAATATAACCTGACTCCATTTAAAGTGGGTCCCAAATTCAAACACATTACTTCATGAAATGGAATATTTACATTTTATTTCACCTTATAATTTTTTCAAAAGCACGAAGTCAGACTTTATAGATCTTTATTTGGTTAACTCCTGACACGACTAATCAGGTTGTAAATATTTTGAAGACTAACATGTGTGCACTCCAAGTGCTTCTTCAGTTTTGTGCAGCTTGCCTTTCTGACACCATAGTCCCCACAAAGATGGCTTAAGTCCATTTCCCCGTTAACTCTGTGTGTCCCAGCAACAGGCGCAGAATGCACACGACTGCCCTCCAGACAGCGAAGTTTAGTATTTCCGTTCGCGTTCACAGGTGTTAAGCCCTAGAAGCTCTCGCTACGTGTTGTTGATGCTGCAGTGCGGACGAACATCTCAGAAAACCTGGTTTTATGTTCTGTGGGTGCGGGTAGCCCCCATTGCTAGTTCCCTACATCATCTAAGGGTTTATTTTCTCTCTCTCTTTTTTTCCAGACCTAACTACTAGAATGAATGCTGCATATTAAGAGAAACCACAAGAAGGTTGTATGTTTGGTTGTCTGATATTCTTGGATTTACTATGAACCAATACATAGTCGTTGTTGTTGTTGACAGAACCCCAGTTTGTATGTTCATTATTCACATTCCTGTTTGTGTTTGGGAAACAAAAGACATTTTAGCCTTTTTTAAGGTTATTGACTTCATTTCATGTTATTTGGCTGCATGAGGTTGCCCTTAACCACTAAGGATTGTCAGGATTTTTTGCACAGACTCATACATGTCTAGGATCCTTTGACCAAGGCAGTTATGTCCTCCGTTTTCCTGCCTTGGCCCGCCATCACCAAACACTTTATTAAATATTAATTTGCATTTTTTTAGATTACCACTCAACATAATGCATAAGGGTGGGATTTCCTCTCTTTAATGAACCCAGGAACTAATTCCTAGATACATAACATTGGTATATTGAAGAAGAATTAAAATTGTCCTTCAGTTTTGAGGCCATGTGTAAAGTTTAACCACATTGTAAAATACCTATTCTGTATTAGAAATAGCTAGTTGACAGCTTATACTTCTCAAGACTCATGTTGTTATGTACACAAACTGAGTTTCTGTATGTGAAGTTAGTGAGTCTCTTTGTGTTACTCCAAAATAAAGGCAATGATCTATTTTTTCCCAGTGCCAACACAATTTGAGCTGATCACTCAAGGTGGGTCCTTCCATTTTACAGCTGTAATGAGCAGCAGCCCTGTGGGAAACCAGACAGAACACTGACTTTTAAATATAGACTTTTAAAATGAACTGTTTTCTTTTGGAACTAGAGGTAGAATAGTTAATATTCATCGACAAACCATTATTATGTGTACATTATTGTTGCTATTGTGATAATAGAGAATTTTATTTATTTTTATGCCAGCTTATATTGTGAGAACACATTTAGTCAGTTTGGTTTTATCAATCCTATTATGCTTGTCCTTGGAACATCTTTCTCGTATTCCAGGTTTGTAGTTGAAAAGTTTACTGTAAAAAAAAAATCAAAAACAAAAAAATGTATTGTTTTTACAGAATAAATTTATTGGAATGTGTACTGGGAGTAAGATTTGAGGCTGTAAACAACTAAGTTAGTGTGATTTGGCTTCATATATGTAATGTGAGGTATTAATGTAATTCATATATTAAAGCAAAAATTGTTAACAGCAAGTTGACGGTAGAATCAAGTGCAGGTGAGGCTTTTCTTTTTCTTTTTTTAAAACACTCTGGATTCTTGCCTATTTGGAAACACTTGGGGGGCTTATGGGAGATTATTACATGATTTGCCCACACGTGTAAGAAAATCTGTACCGCTCAGTGGGCCTGCATTCACACATTTGCCGTCATCCGTGCATTCGTTTATATCCCATTTGATTTTGGTCTGCGTATCTTGGTGAAGAGCTAATAAATAGCATGAAGGTAAAATGGGAGAAGATGTTGAAGCTTAGGGCCACGATGAGGATGGTGACAGCCCAGGGTGTGAACGCGCCAACGCACTGAACCACGCCAGCGACACTGAGGAGGCAACTGTCCTTGTGGTTTGTTTCTCTCATTTAGCAGATATTTTCTCTATTAAACACAATTCCAAATATGGGAAGTTCGCTAACAGATAAGAGGGATGCCGGTCCAGCTCTTTTTCTTGAAAATGTGCTTTTTGATTTTGAATGGCTTCAATTTATTTTGAGACTAATGAAAATCAGTTCACCAAGGGATTCTTCATCGCTCACACTGAAACATAGGAGAATGTAGAAGACACCTGAGAGACAGACAGACAGACAGACAGGGCTGCATTCGCTGGCCACTCCGCAGGCGCCCACAGCTGGCAGGGCTGGAGCCAGGAGCTGGGAAGTCTCCGGGTCTCCACATGAGTGGCAGGGACCTGAATACCCGAGCGTCACCACTGCCTCCCCAGGGCTGCGCTGGTGGGCGGCGGGGTCAGGAGCCAGAGCCAGGAGTGAAACGCAGGCACTCCAGGGGGACGGGCATCCTGGTCACTAGGCCAGATGCGCCCCCCTCCAGACGGCGTCTTTGAACTGGGCTATGTAACTGACAGATTTACTTAAACAAAATGCCAGAACTTGTCATGGGTAAAAAAAAAAAAAAAAAAAAAAAAAAGACAAAATATTTCAAATTTATAAGGTTTATCTTCATAAAAGGCCAAAAATATTTTATTAAAAATACACATGGAAGCACAATAAAAATATTTCTAGCCACCAATAAAACAAGTGTCAATTAAAGGTAATGGGAAAGTTAATCTCTCTTTAGCTACTTAAGATTCACGTGAAAAAATTTTAGTAAAAGCAGATTTTAAAACAGCAGTGAATATTTCCTTGGGAAAACATTTTTCAAGCATTATGAAACAGTCTGATGATTTGACTTTGATATCGAGGCCCATATAAGGCGCATGTGTCTGGTAACTAATTATTGCCCCAACCCTCATTTCCTGTTATGAATTTTTTATGTGCGTGGGCCATATTCAGTTTTGAGTAGTTTCATTTTCATGCTCACTATTGTAGGTGATTAAATTACAATTTTTCATACTTAACAACTATTTCTTGAGATAAACGGCCAAGTTTATTCACAAATAACTTTGAATATATTTAAATAAACTTTCTCAACAACTTGAATTCCCCTTCAAGGAGAAGTCTACTTACAAAATCCCGTGTTAGAGTTCACACAGTACAGAGCAAGAATTTCTTCTTAAGTATTCGTGAATGAAAAGGGAATACAGTGGGACAAAAACCAGTACCCGTGCGACAAAAACCAGGAGCGTGGAGAGGGAGCACGTGAAGTCATATTTTTACTCCACTTTTTCATCCCCCTTTGTTTTTATGAAGAACTCTGGTTTGTAGATGCAACGATAGGCCAAGAGCTGAGGCAGAACTCCATATGCTATGTTTAATGCTAAAAAAAGGCCTTTCGCTTCTTCAGGGACTCTGTAGACATAGGCAGTTCTAGCATGAAGGGAAGCACCAACGTGAGAAAACTGAGCCTGTTGCATTAAAACAAAAACAAAAAGATGAGTAAGCATGAATCCGTGTTGGGTTGGATGCGTGATGGGTTCTGAAGGGTTCGGTTAGACTGCTTTCCTGTGCCCTGCAAACCAGGCTCACCCACAGGCCCGACACCTTCAGCACATCTAGTTGTGAATATGGTAGTCTTCCGTTAAATGTAGTCTTTCATGAAATTGCAGGCGATTCCTGATACAGCTGTCAGATAAAGTATACCTTCCTCAGCGAGGTTCCTCATGTCACGTGTTCCTCAGCCCAGGCAGTGCCCCATTCCAAACACCAGTGACCCAGCAGAAAAGTCTAAACTCTGCTGTGCATTCTGGAGGTCCTACATGACAGACTCGGCTGTGGTTCCCAGACCGTGTGCCAATAAAAACAAAGTACAGATCTCTAAAAGCTTTTAGCATAATAAACTAAGCACCTGCACCTCATCTGTCAGTCTGAACCGCACCTTGGAGCAAGGGCTCTAGACCCCTTCCGATGTAGTTTCTGTTTGTTTCTTCATGTGGTTGGTTTTTACACAACTGAAGAAATACTAAGGGTGATTTTCTAAGATGAGGCTGCTAACAGCTTCGGTGGGGCAGGGGCACGGTTGCCGTGTATAAGATGGCAGAAGCTCGTGCAGGCCACCGTGCAGAGAGGGATGTGTTCCGAGGTGTGAGCTTGCCAAACGGGAAGTCAGGGGCTTCCCAGGGTACTCGCGTCCTCGTTCAGAACACACATTCAGGATGTGCCAGGTTTTTTTTTTTTTTTTTTTATACTTAAGCACAGAGGAAGATTTTGGAAAGGGTAATGCTAGCAGCAAGATTAAAAACTCCTATGAGAGGATGTCCTTAGGAGGCTTTTCTTGTCACACACACACACACACACCCCACCTTGGAGTCTGCATTTTATATCTTGCCAAAATTCAAAATGTATGTGCGTAAGAGATGGGGAATCTAAATATAACAAGCAGTAAATTATTAGTTGAGCGGGGTCGCGGTGAAGAGACAGAAGATACTGTAATCTGAAGTCGCCCAAGTGACAAGAAGAGAGCTAAATGATTGGCCTTCAACACAGAACTTGGGTTTCCTTCCATAGGAAGTCAGTGTAGTCGGCTAAGATAACAGCCTGTTGACTCTGCCACGACAGGAACGGGGCAGGCTTTTCCAGGCGCCCTCTTCATGAGTTTGTATCCGTGGCAGACACCATAATAGACTGCAGTTGTACAAATCACCGACATGTTCACGGCGCCTGGGTACAGCCGCGCTTCTCTCTCGAGCTAGGAGTTCCCGTGATGTGTGGCCAAAGACCAGCACATAAGTCGTCTGGCACACCTCCCGCAGGCAGAGGCCCAGACAGAACCAGCAAGTGTATCTGCACCCGCGGGCTACAAGGACAGGCGACCATGAGAAAGCAAGGGCACGGGTGGGGCTGCCTGAGGCGCCACCATGTGGACATTCCAGGAAAGCTGCAGCGGAGCCTGGCTCCGGCCACTGTGTTTCCCTAAAGCCTATTTTGAATGGCCGCGTTTTTCTGAATATATAGCCGGTCTCAGAGGCAGGGGTTCCTGGTGGCTCTACCTTTATAAACACTTGCTCACATCACAAGATCGGCACAACTGGGGAAGGCCAACCAGCTTTCAAAGAACACGAGCAGTCGTGCCCGCCTGATAGGGAAGTGGGGTCCTGGAGGCCCGTTTCCTGCACCGCCAGGGCAGTGAATACCTCATTCTCACAGACAGCAGCACTAAAGCCTCATTTGTGTCCTTAGACTGTAAGCCCACGGGGCAGGTCCTGTGTCTGATGTGTCGCATTGTTCAAGCCCAATAAACATTCAGCAACAGTGGTCTTGTGGCTGTCGGAGTCCAAGAGATCCCCAGAGCCTCTTTCTGTGCTCTGAATTAGGAAGCTCTCCTGCGACTGCGCCGAGTTCTGGCGCATTTAGGGGGGCACCCAGCCACACGGTTTGCTCCCCCGGGTGGAATCCTGTTATGTTTTCATGGCTGCAAAGTTCCAAACAAAACGCAGTCTCACCTGAGGACCCCTCCCTTCCCAAGGCAGCGGCTGGGGGCAGGCGTGGGAGTGGTTTCCCTGCTTGTGGGGCCTCCTAAGGTTTCCGGGCCCAGAAATTTCTCCACAACTCAGGAACATGAGCTTGAGTCCTAACAGTCATTTTTTTCTATGTCGTTCAAGATCACTGTTTACAGAAGTCATTGAGATATACTCTGATTTCTTACCATAATGGATGATTAGAAAATGACCCGCTAAAGGCACCCAAAGGTTCACTTTTAGTAGCACTGTCCTATATTTATGGAGGCAGCCTGGACAGGGTGACTGAAAATCACAATGCTGTAGATGCTGCAAGAGTGTTAATGTGTCGCCGCGAACCCTGACAAGCAACAGCCAGTGTGAACACCGAACAGTAACAAGCAACAGCCAGCGTGAACACGGAACAGTCGCCAGGCTGTAGGGTCAGAACCCTGTTACCTGTCTCAAGAGCTTTCTGAGCAGCATAGTAGAGGTGCAGGGCACCTACAGTCAAATCCCAGCTCCACCAGAAACCTGCAGCGGGGCCTCGGGCAAGGCATGGCGCCTCTGGCGGCCTCATCTGGGACAGCCGGTCACGGTGGACCCCACCCCCAGCCGGGGACCGCTCAGGACAGACACATACATAGCTCAGCCGGGATCCCTGCTCTCCTTTGCTGGACACCTGGGCTGTTTCTAACTCCCTTCGTTGACCTTATGGCTGTCAAGAGTCTCCAGCGAGGGCCAGTAAGTATGTAGATGGTAGACCCCAAAGGCTACTGTGAAGGCTAAGATGTTCAGTAGTAACAGTAACACAAAAATGGCAAGTGCCTCCCAGTCAGGAGCGAGCTGGTGGGGGCGGCTGAGGGGCAGGAGGGAGTGCACTGTAAGTCCTGAGGCTGACGTTTCAGGTAATAATTATGTGCAATACACACTGAGGAGTCGGTTCCACTGTCTACAGGCTAACCCATCACCTAGGCAACGTGAGGCATTTCTCCTGCAACCTTGCGACCAGGGGTTTCCCAGCAGTGATGAAGAGCGAGATAGCTGGTGTGTGCCAAGCACTCTTCCATTTAATCCTCAGCAACTCTGCTAGGGGGCGGCTCTTCCTGCCGTCACTCACCAGGAGAGGAAAGGGTTAGGGCGAAGAAGCCGGCGCCACCGGGCCCGGGAGTACAGCTGGGGTTGGAAGCCGTCTGCCTCCAGAGCGCAGGCTCCCAGCCATATGGAGCACGTTGCCTCTGATTCGATTTCCAGGGCTATTGCATCACAGAATGTGCTGCTGGCCCCCTGTACCACAGCAGACACCCAGATCCATGGGTGTTCCAGTCCCTTCTATAAAGTGGCATGGTGTTTGCATATAACCTGTCTACTTCAAGCCGTCTCTGATTTACGTAGGATGCCCAGGACAACGTTAAGTGCTATGTGAATGTTTTTAGACTGTGTTGTGTAGGGAGTGGACCAAACAAGTCTGTGCCTATTCAGTGCAGCAAAACCACGGTTAGCCTAACTACATTTTCCATTCAAAGGTGGCTGAGCCTCCACTACAGAGGGCCAACCATACAATGCCAGCAAGTGGACTGGACTTTCCAGGTCAGACTTGCCACCTTAGTGCTGCAGTAAGGATTTGCTAGGAAAAGGTAGTTGGTGGGGCTGGCACTGTGGCGCAGCGGATAAAGCCGCCACCTGTGACACCGGCACCCCATATGGGTGCTGGGTCATGTCTCAGCTGCTCCACTGCTGATCCAGCTCCCTGCTAATGCACCTGGGAAAGCAGCAGAAGACGGCCCAATGTTTGGGCCCCTGCATCCACGTGGGAGACCTGGAAGAAGCTCCTGGCTTCAGACCAGCCCAGCTCCTGCCGTTGTGGCCATTTGTGGAGTGACTCAGTGGCTGGTTCTCTCTCTCTCCCTCTGTGTGTGTGTAACTCTGCCTTTGGAATAAATTATAAATAAATATTTATAAAAAGATAGTTGTTATGAGTAAGTCTCCAGTGGAAGTCTAAAATTGAGTCCTGGCTTTATTCTATTTCTTTTTGCATTTTGATTGCTCTTTGGATTTCTGAAGGCAGAAATCCTGCCTTCAGTACCAACGAACTCCTACATCTGAATTCCAGGATGCAGTAACTATCCGATGTGTCTTCCACTGACCTAAAAGTTTTTCAAGGATTTTTTTTTCTTATTAAATTGCATGGGTCTCGGGAGTGCTGTCTTTCCAAAACAGCAGGTTTTGATGAAGTTGCTGGGATCAGGAATTCAGGATTCTGATCACATGCCTCTCTGCTTTTTCCTTAGGCTAATTAGTACCAATAAATTGATCAGTTAGAGCCCGGCCAAGGACCACGGGCACGACACCTCACTCTTGAGTTAGGCCGCTGTTTCCGGGGGGCTGGGAGAGCCATCTGACAGTCACGGGCTCTGGGCCTGGACACCCACTGGCAAGAGAGGAGCTTGGGACAAAGCCCAGGAGTGGCCGCAGGCCCTGAGATCTGCCTGAGGCTGCAGCTCTGTGGGCCACACTGCCCTTCGCAGCACCACCCAGCAGGAGCCCCAGGTGCCACGTCTCTGCTAGCCTCCTAGCTGACAACGCTGCTGCTGCACCCGGGGCCAGTGCAGGGCAGGCCGGGGCGCACCGCATGCAGAGGAAAGGCCTGGCGTGGGGCTGGTGCTGGGCTCTGGGCCCTGGGCTGCCATCCTGGCTTTGCTCCCAATTCCAGCTTCCTGCGCTGTGCACCCTGGGAGGGAGCAGGTGATGGCTCAAGCAGCTGGGTCATTGCCACCCACGTGGGAAACTCCACATTGAGTTCCTGACCCTGGCTTCAGCCTAGCCCAACACTGGCTATTGGTAGGGCATTTGGGGAGTGAACCAGCACGCAGATCTCTGTGTCTCTGTCTTGGATAAATAAAAATGCATAGTAAAAACCAATAAAAGCCAGCCAGAGGGAGATGGATGTGAGGCCCCCTGTAGTGGAGGATACAGGAGAACAGATCTGGGGACCAAGAAAACCAAAGCCAAGGCTTACTCTGCTCCCTCCCACCCCTAAATGCCTCCTCCTGGTGTTTCCTGGGGAGACTTGGCCCTATAAAGCCTCAGAGATCAGCTTAGGTGCCCCTGCCCCCCCCCCCCCCGGTCCCTGGAGGCTCTCAACTGCCCTGTGCCACATCCAGCATCTACCTTTGGGCCTTAGCTAACGGCTCAGAGCTCAGGGATGCAGGGCAGAGGTGGGCGTGCACTCTGCCAGCATTCCCTGTCTCTACTCTGCCATCTTCGGGCTCAGAGCTCAGGGATGCAGGGCAGAGGTGGGCGTGCACTCTGCCAGCATTCCCTGTCTCTACTCTGCCATCTTCGAGCCTGCAACCTGAGGCAAGTGAACCAAAGCCGTCCTGGGCCCGGTTTCCTCATCTTGCAACAGGGAATTAAAAATTAAAAATAAAATAAAGATGCGAAGGTAATACCATGAGTGCGTCAGGCTGTGTCTCCTGCGGCACATGACCTTGACCAGGCCTGCCCCTTGAAAATGCCCCGCGTGATCTTGAAACGAACAAGAGCTGGAGTCTGGGCAGCCTCGGGGTGCGTGAGCTCCTGAGAACTCAGGCCAGTGCAGCGGAGCTGGGAGAGAATGGATGGATCTGCGAATCACTCTGGAGACAACTAGCCAGACCTAGAGAGGGGCTCGACAGGGAGGGGAGCGCATGGCAGGTGTAAATTACTCCCGAGGTTTTTTGGGTGGATAATTTATACATAGAATCAACAGGAGTCCTGCTCTAGACATAAAATCTGAGGTGCCTGTGAGACAGCCAAGTGTGAAACCAAATATGCGAGCCTGGGAGCAGTAGTGGCTAAAAACGAAACTGGAAGCCGCTCCCTCGCGGCTGCTGTTGGAAAAGACAAAAGCAAAGACCCCCAGACGGAGGCCTGAATTCCCAGGTCTGGGTGCTCAGAGCAGGAATGCTCACTTCCCTTGCTGCATCCGCTTCTCTGATGCCAATATTCTAACTTTGTAACAAAGGGCTTCAGATTGGAAGGATTTAACCCAAATATGCCCCCACAAATACTGTGTTTTTCAACCCTGTAAATTCTAACTTGTCTATTTATATAGCACGAGTATATAATTATAAAAATGAAATTTAAAGTTATTTTTAAATTTCTGTTAAGGGGATACAATTACTTTAATCTCTTTGTTCAGAAGATCGGTTTGTTTGCTGAGTGCTACCTTTGCGCTTTGTGCGCTAATTCCATGGACAGTTTCACTTCAGTTCCATGCAGTAAGATTTCGCGGAACAGCTCCTCCCGGCCAGGCACGGGGCTGGGAAGAATGAAATGACAGGCCTCGCGTTTCAGGAGCAGAAAAAAAAATGTTTAAGCCCGTTCCCTGGTTCTGTGTCTCGTGGTTGAGGCCAACAGCAGAATGCTGAGGTCTCAAACAGGGATAGCATTGGGATTTCCCAGCTCCCAAACCTTTCTTAGTAGCCATGGTGTCTAGAGATTGGGCAGTGGTCCTATGCAGCCACCGTGCCATTTGCTGGGGGGGGGGGGGGCACCTAGGGCAAATCACTTAACATCCGGGCCCCTCCTCGGCATCCCTGGATAGCTCAGCCCCCAGGCAGCAGCCGGGAGATGGGGAGAAACCGTCTGGCTGCAGTGCGCCTCGTACCTGAGCGACGCCTCCCGCGTGTATCAGCGTGATGTCCGGCATCCAGCAGCACCCAGGGACCACCAAGCCGTACAGCGCGATCACGAAGTAGGGGACGGAGTAGAACATGGACGCCAGCATCTGTAGGGAACAGAAACACCGTCAGCGACCTCACGGGCGCTCGGCCGGCTCGCCTCCTCCGTGGGACCACGTTGTTCCCACTGTGGTGGTTTAAGAGTAAAAAAAGAATTTTAGAAAACTCCTGGGCTTCACAATGCCTTGACCTGAATCTTAGGGTAAGCAGCAGGATCCTTGATGTAGGGCTCTTGGAACTGGGCGTAGAGTCGGCAGAGCTCCGCGGGGCAATCCAATGCAATCTGAGGACAAAGAGGAACTGGTTACACACGCGCGCGGTCACACCTGGCTCCTCGGGTTTGCCAAGAAGTCTAAGGTGCCGGCTTCGGGCACAGGCCGCTCTGCTGTGTGGCCTTGCGGGGGGAGAGCCAAGGCAGCATCTCTCCAAGGAGGGGGAGCAGAGGACGGCAGGGGAGCCCTCGCCTTGGGCAGCGGCGGTCAAGTGTCTGGGTTGGGCTAGCCAGAGCACAGCTGGCTTTAGCATGTGGGAATAAGCGGCTAACTGGTCAACCGTTCCCACACCACACCGCGTTCATCTTACCACTGTGGGAGTCCCCTCTCCCCCTGCCGCCCAGAGCAGTCAAGGACAGTGACTGGCACCGGCCATCCAACAGACAAGCATCCCTCTAGCACAGCCCGGGGTCCCCTCTGACTCATCTCCCCGCTCTGGCACTGCTCCGCCAAGACCACAGGCCGAAGCACCTGCTGGCCACCAGGGGCCCCCAAATGGGCCCCACCCCAAAGCCAAACGGTGAAAACCCCGCTCACCAGGCCCGCACCCCCACACATGCACCCGGTTCTCTCCCCGTGTGCAGGGAACTGGACGGGACCATGTGAGCACACCGCTGGACTGGTGATTTGGGGTCTGGACTGTGGCAAACACAGCAAGCTAAGTAAACACCAGTGTCAGCGAGGGGGTCTGAGCACAGCTCCCGGCCTGGCCACTTTCATCTCCCCTGCCGCGGCCCCTGCTGCTGTGAGCCGGCTCCTCCGGGGAGGTCCTGCCCAGCCTCGGCCCACACAGATCTCTCCCAGCCCAGGGGCCCTGGGTTCCTGAACGATCTGTCACCCAGCCACCATTCAGTGAGCACTTACTATGTGTGAGGCCCCTACCAAGAGTTGGAGGTGCATTATCGTAAGCTTAGGAGCAAACTGTGGTTCCAAGAGGTTAAGTCCTGTGTCCAAGACCACACATTTAGTACGGGCCAGGATCCCGGACCACACATCTAGTACACGGCCAGGACCTTAGACCACACATCTAGTACACGGCCAGCATCCCGGACCACACATCTAGTACACGGCCAGGACCCTGGACCACACATCTAGTACATGACCAGGATCCCGGACCACACATCTAGTGCATGGCCAGAACCCTGGACCACACATCTAGTACAGGGCCAGGATCCCCAGACCACACATCTAGTGCACGGCCGGCATCCTGGACCACACATCTAGTACACGGCCAAGACCTTAGACCACACATCTAGTGCACGGCCGGCATCCCAGACCACACATCTAGTGCATGGCCAGAACCCCGGACCACACATCTAGTACACGGCCAGGACCCCAGACCACACATCTAGTACACGGCCAGGATCCCGGACCACACATCTAGTACAGGGCCGACATCCCAGACCACACATCTAGTACATGGCCAAGACCTTAGACCACACATCTAGTGCACGGCCAAGACCTTAGACCACACATCTAGTACATGGCCGGCATCCAGGACCACACATCTAGTGCACAGCCGGCATCCAGGACCACACATCTAGTACACGGCCAGGACCCCAGCTCCCAAGCCCACAGGTCTTTTTCTTCGCCTGTGCGCTCTTGCGTCGGTAGAGGGCGCCCGCATGCCTGCACGTGAATCAGGCCCCTGGATACACAGGCTGCAAACCTGACCTCGGGGGACTCAGCACCGTGCTGGCCAGTGAGACAGTCACGTGACCCTGCACCGCTAGGCCGTGGGCACCTGCTGCCCCTTCCTCAGTCCCATCGCCCCCCACCCCGCTCCCGAGGACGCCACGCCCGCGCGCAAAGACATTTACACTCGAATCAGAAACGTCTCAGGAGCCAGAGGAGCCCCCTCGCGAGCAGAGGCGCAGGCCCCCAGGCTCTAACGGAGGCCCAGGGGTCTGATTAGCCTCGCTTCCCCGCCTGCAAGCCGGAGCCGCCCAGCAGGGACTTACCAGGCCTCGGAACAGGCAGAACCCGGTCGCCAGCAGGAGCCACAGGACCAGCACGAAATCAAACGGGCGCCTCAGCAGGTCCTTGGCTTGAGCTTCCTGCACAACCTGAAACAGAGCGTGCGGCTAGCCAGCAGGCCCCGGGTGCCGAAGGAGAATCGGAAATCCACTGGCGAGGCGGACGCCACGGCGAGGGCCGAGGAGAGGATGTTCCGGGCCCCCCAGTCCGCGTCTGGAACCACTGGCCATGGGACTCTAGGCATCCCCCCTAAGTCACGGCCCCCCATCTGGGAAACGGAGAGGCGGCACCTCGCAGCTCTCCGAGGAGGCGCCTGCTCCCTGAAATGCCACTTCCACGAGTACAGATGTTAACTACGCTCATTGAAAAATACAGCCCTAGAAGTCAACCATAAGCCTGCCCACCACAACAGCTGGCATACTTTCCTAGTCGCATGCATTTATGTATACAAAGGCACACCTAAAATCTCTATTTTTTCACAAAATTAGGATATCGTGGATATTAAAAAAATGTTTGATGTGTTCTTTTTGGCCTCAGCCTCTACCTATATTAAAAGCTCTTCCCGGGTGGGGCTGACACGGTGGCCAAGCGGGTAAAGCTGCTGCCTGCAATCCCTGGCATCCCGCATGGATGCCAGTTCAAGACCCAGCTGCTCCACTTCCGATCCAGCTCCCGGATGAGGTGCCAGGAGAAAGCAGGGGAAGATGGGCAAGGGTTTGGGCCCCTGCTACCCACACTGGAGACCCGGATGCGTGCTCCAACGGCCCAGCCCTGGCCACTGCGGCCATCTGGAGAGTGAGCCAGCAAACGGAAGCTTGCTCTCTCTGTCTCTCCATCTCTCTGTAACTTTGCTTTTCAAATAAATAAATATTTAAAAAAAAACACTTTCCCATATTATTAAAAATTCTTCTAAAACTAAAATAATTCCGGCCGGCGCCACAGCTCACTAGGCTAATCCTCCGCCTTGTGGCGCCGGCACACCGGGTTCTAGTCCCAGTCGGGGCACCGGATTCTGTCCTGGTTGCTCCTCTTCCAGGCCAGCTCTCTGCTGTGGCCCAGGAAGGCAGTGGAGGATGGCCCAGGTCCTTGGGCCCTGCACCCCATGGGAGACCAGGAGAAGCACCTGGCTCCTGGCTTCGGATCAGCGCAGCACGCCGGCCGCAACGCACTGGCTGTAGTGGCCACTTGGGGCGGGGGGTGAACCAACGGAAAAAGGAAGACCTTTCTCTCTGTCTCTCTCTGTCAAAAAATTTTTTTAAAAAATTCCATAGGGAAGAGACCTTAGCCACTCTCCCATCACTGGACATATAAGCATTTTTTTTAACTGCTATATTTAATGTGATGAAGAACAACTTTATACGTGAATCTTTAACAGCACCTCTAGTGGTTTTTCTGAGGACAGGATCCAAGAATTGAAATCCCTGGGTTAAAGCGTTGTGTTTGTTAAGGCTGATCACAATGCAAACCACTCTGCACGCTCAGTCTGGACTGTGCACCTGTCAGCACCGTGTGGTCGCCCCTGGTTAGCACTGCGGTTTGGCATTAAAAACAATGCTAATAAAGAGATCCCTGTGTCTCCTGGCATGACCGCTCTTGCCGACACTCAGGCGCGGAGCCTTCCAAAGCCGAGGAGGCCAAGGCCAAGGCCAAGGTCACTCTTTTTGTTTTCTTTTGAACCACTACCTCATTCCTCCGAGTGACTGAAGGGGGTGCCGGCGGTCACTGTGCCGGCCTGTGTTTGCTCAGCAGGTGTCTAAATGTTCACAAACCAGGTGTACATGAGCCCCGGTAAGCGGCTTCTGTAAACCTTGTGGAATCGTGTTCTGTCTCTAGTAATTCAGCTTTGCTTAAAGGCCACTGCTTACGGATCTAATACTTATGAAAGCAAGAGAGACTGAGAGAGATGTCGCGGGCTTAAAACCAAGACCTTCCCAGGGTACCTGTCAGGCCGGCACTGGTCCACTGTCACCACCGTGGCTGTGCAGGGAAGAGAGGTGCCCCGGAAGACATCCGTGGGGCTGAAATCTCGGGTCTCAGAGCCTGCGGCTCTGTGGGCTGCATTGTCTCTCCAGCTAAGGAAGCAGCGCCCAGGTGCTCAATGTGTCATTAACCACAGGCTGTGGGCCGGCGCGGGGTCGGGAGGGGGAGCCAGCGGGACCAGGGGCACAGGAGCTGCCCGGAAGTACGGCCTCCCCCACAGCAGCAGCTGCCCCCGCACTGGGCCCCCGTAACTACGCCGTCACACGGCGGGCGCTCGGGCCTCGGAGGCACAGGTGACCCCCGTGGGTCTGGGGACGCGTTTTACATTGAAACTTAATCCAGTCACCTTTGAGGGATAATTACAAGTTTCTGCCGGCTGATTATAAATTCTGAAACCAGCCCAGACAGGAAGACACGCGTATGGTATACTTAAGAAGAAAGCTGGGCAAATTCGTGTTCCATACTTCCCTATTTAAAAGAGAAAAAAAAAAAAAAAAAAAAGAGAAAGTCAGAAGTTGACCGAAAGCACAGCTAACCGGCCACAAGCGAACACTCCGAACACCCCTCCCCCCATCCCCGGTCATCCAAGATGTGCAATAGACCCGCCAGGACTTGGAATGATGGAAAAAGCAATGTCCGTTTCAAACCATCAGGCATTTCCTAACAGGCACCCCCCGTCCTCAGAACTCAACAGTGAGCTCCCTGATTCCCCGTAGGCATCAGGGTCTTTTTCCTTCGGCCCTCGGGGGTCTCCATTTCCAAGTACATTTTCTGAGTGCTCGCGACGCGTGACGTCACCGTATCTGCCCACTGTCGTCACCAACACCCTCCTCCACCCCGCGAGGTCCAGAAGAAATCGAGACTCTCTAACCCTTGCCTGTGATCCGTGCACACGTCTGACAACTACTCAGAAACAGCTTTTGAGACAAGGGTGAGGTTTAGGAGGCAGAGGGGAGCAATTCCGCTTTCACCATAGGCTCGGGGGCTCCCGGCTCTACCGTAACCGGAAGCGCACCTCTGCTCAAAGACGATCGCCCCTGTTTCCAGGACAGAGAAGTAAAAGAGGAAAAAGTGTCTTACCTACAATGTTCCCGGGCACGAAGACAACAATGCTCATTATAATGGATCCAACCCAGTAGAGGCCGACGGTTCTGTAACTTTCCCTGGAACAAATGAAAAAAAAAAATCTGACTTGGCGCACTTTGTCTTAGGAGAGCAAAGACGCTCAACATTGCGCGTTCTCATTAGCAAAGCTCGCGAATCGGAGCTTCCTGAGCTGGGAGCAAGGGACGAAACACACAGGGAGATGGTGCTGTGTGCACCGAGGCGCTATGAAACCAAACACCATCCTCACGGCCACGGCACGCCTGCCTTTCCTACTGCGGACAAAACTCGCTACGACAAGGGGGAAAAAAAAAAAGTCCCAGGAAGTACGGAGACTGGGGCCAGGCCAGGTGAGGTGAGAAGAGATAGGAGGAGAGAGAGACCTAGCAGAGCCTCGGGGCTTTTTTAAATCTCCCCCACCGGGGGGGGGGGGGGGGGGGGGGGGACGAGGAGGCCAGGTCTGTTTCCCACCCACGGAACTGGCACCCACGTCCAGTTCACCTGCTCTCGTGGCTGTGTCTGCACGCACGTGCCCCTTCCATAGCCGTGTGTCGGTGGCTAGGGTGGCAGAGGCACATGCGGCGCGCGACCGACTTACTCCCAGGCTATGGCTGCCACCATCACGAGATACATCAGGTAATGCGCCGAGCCGTCCCAGTAGCAGATCATGTGGCCGTAGGCGGTGTTCAGGTAGGGTTCACCCTAAGGAGGCATCCGACGGAAGGCTGCTGTGAGTGACTCAAACGCTGGTTTTTAGTTAGTTAATTAATTTGACTGGGGGGCAGTCACAGAGAGAGAGGAGAGAGGAGAGAGAGAGAGAGAGAGAGAGAGCGCCCATCCGCTCACTGGCTCTCTCCCCCAGTGACCACGACAGCTGCATGAGTCCAAAGCCGGGAGCCGGGAGCTGCACCCAGGTCTCCGGTGTGGGTGGCAGGAAGGGACCCGATGCTTGGGCATCCCCTGCAGCCTCCCGGGGCCGGCATTCGCAGGACGCTGGAACCAAGAGCCAAGCCAGGACTCGAACCCGGGCATCTTAACTGAAGTCGTAACCACTAGGCCAAACACTCACCCCGAACTTATCTTTCTGCTCCATTTCCTGTGAGTTTTCTGAAGACCCCTTGCACGCACAGACGGGCAGCAGGGAACCCAGCGCTCCACGCAGCCCCTCGTCCACCCTTCCCAGCAGCCCTGTGGGATGGACATCGCTGGCTCCATTTCACAGATAAGGAAACTGAGGCCCCGGAAGATTTTACAAGACTCGCCCGAGATCACGCAGCTGGCACCTGGCAGAGACAGCACAGCCAGGAAGAGCCAGAAAACGTCACTGGGATGAACATGAGATCTTACATGACGGACAGCACGTCCGTGCTCGTGTGGCTGCTGGCAAGTCACTGTCAGGTGTGCCTGGCTTTGAGGTGACGTCCTGGCCCCACCTTGTCTCCTTCCCTCTTTCTCCCACCTTCCTGCCCTCCCGGCTCACCCCGCCTGTCGCCCAAGGATGCCCCAAGTCCCTCCCCAGCAAGGAAGGGCGCGGATCCACCAGGCTGGCAGTCAGCCAAGCAGGCGGGGCCTTCTCCGATGGCTGGTGCTCCCCACAAATCAGGGTTAGCACCCCAGCAGGGCAGGAAGCAAGCTCAGCCCAGTCTCCTCCCCTGGCCCCGGGGGTCCCAGGCCCCTAGTCGCTCTGCAGGACCCGCCCTCAGCACAAAGCCCCATCACGCCCTGTGGATGTCCCCGAGCCCTGGAAACCCCCGCGTGTCCCCAGGGGACCTCAGCACCACCCACTGGTGGGGATGTGTCCCGGGGAGACACGGACTCCCTGTCCGCTCCCTCCTCTGCCCCAGCTGTCCCCTCCCTGGGTGCCTTCTGCCTCCCTGGGTAGCCGGGAGCGTTTGCCATCCGCTGTACGCAGCGGTTCCTCTGTGTGGGCAGAGCCGTGTCCCTGCCACGCAGAAAAACACGTTCACCCCTCCCTGAGGGCCGATCCCGCCCTGATTTAAAATCCTCCCTCACCCCTGGGAACAAGTCCCACCTTGACTTCCGGTCCAGCTCCCTGCTGGGAGGCAGCAGGTGATGGCTCAAGTACTTGGGTCCCTGCCAGCCACGTGGGAGACCCAGATGGGGCTCCTGGCTCCTGGCTTCAGCCTGGCCCAGCCTTGATTGTTGTGGGCATTCAGAGAGTGAACCAGCAGGTGAAAGCTCACTCTCTCTCTCTGTTGCTCTTTCAAGTAAATACAGTTTAAAGTCTTCCCACACACACAGGATGGAGTCCACACTCTTGGCTCACAGAGAAATCTGTCCAGAATTTGAAATGCAGATGCAGAATAAGCTTCCCTGTGTGACCTTGAGAAGCTCACCGAATCCCTGTGCGGCTACATCGTCACATCAGAAGTAAGGAAACAGCTCTCTCTCCCAGGTGCTCTGAGCTGCGTGTGTGCACAGGGGGTGGGAGGTGGGGGTTAAACAGCGCAACCAAATGGCTCCCTTGAATGCCTCTGTGTTTGGCACCTAGCAAATTTAACACGGGGGCTTTCGCAGGTTCTATGAAGGGCCTCGCGAGTTCCTCATTTATGTTAGGTATAGGTCGAGGGGAGAGGCGGGTGGGCGGCACGATGCAGTCGCGGGAGCAGGAGACAGGTGCGCAGGCCGCCCTGCTCGCCCAGGCCCGCGGCGTGAGCTGCCCACCGGCCAGGGGCCCCTACCTCTCTCAGGTAGTAGGTCATGAAGCCGTCGATGATCCCATCTTGCTCCAGCCCGATGATGAGGTTCACCACGCTCGTAAATCCGAAAACCGCATACACTAGGGCAGGGAGGCAGCAGTTTACAAAGCAGGCCTCTGGGCGGCGCTGTGGAGCGGCAGTAGAGCCGCACCCCAACACCAGCATCCCGTATGGGCGCCAGTTCGAGTTCCGGATGCTCCACTTCCGATTCTGCTTCCTGCTAATGCACCTGGGGAAGCAGTGGAAGATGGCCCAAGTGCTTGGGCCCCTGCACCCACGTGGGAGACCTGGAAGAAGCTCTTGACTCCTGGCCCAGACCCAGGCATTGTGGCCATTTGGGGAGTGAACCGTGAATGGAAGATCTCTCTCTGTCTCTTCCTGTCTCCCCGTAACTGACTTTTTTTTTTTTTTTTTTTTGACAGGCAGAGTGGACAGTGAGAGAGAGACAGAGAGAAAGGTCTTCCTTTTTGCTGTTGGTTCACCCTCCAATGGCCGCTGCGGCTGGCACACCATGCTGATCCGATGGCAAGAACCAGGTGCTTCTCCTGGTCTCCCATGGGGTGCAGGGCCCAAGCACCTGGGCCATCCTCCACTGCACTCCCGGGCCACAGCAGAGAGCTGGCCTGGAAGAGGGGCAACCGGGACAGAATCCGGTGCCCCGACCGGGACTAGAACCCGGTGTGCCAGCGCCGCAAGGTGGAGGATTAGCCTAGTGAGCCGCGGTGCCGGCCATAACTGACTTTCAAATGGATAAATAAATCTTTAAAAAAATTGCAAAGGCATAATACAGTGCATTATGTTAAAAAATAAATAAAAATAAAAAAGCGGGAATCATGGGAGGCAGGGATGGTGGCTCAATTGCTTGGGCCTCTGCCACTTATGTAGGAGACCCAGATTGAGTTCTGGGCTCCTGGCTCCAGCCCTGGCTGTTGTGGGTATTTGGGGAGTGAACCAGCAGATGGAATGTTCTTCATGTTTTCTAGAAGATCTTGCTGACGTCATCAACCTAGACTAATGGACCAGACACCTGCTGCATACCCAGTGGGTCTCAGGCTGCCCACCCTGGGTGTAGGGTGCACGTCCCCAAGGTGGGGAATGACACCAGGCCACCCCAGCATCCCACTGGGCAGCAGGGACAAAGCCAGCGGCCAACGGGCCTGTGAAGCACAGTGGTGACCCAAGGGCTGAAAACAGTGACTTAGCAGAGGGGAATCATTTCATGGGTCCCGGGGCCAGGCTGCGGCCCTGCGTGTCCGGTTGTTTGCCTGCTCCAGGCCGGGCTCTATGCAAGAGGCTTTAGGATAAAAGGCCAAGGGATGACAAAAATAGAAGCCAAGATGGCACGGTGGGCTATTACAGGAGAAAAAGCCGTGTCGCCGGCCGGGGTGTACACAGCTGGCACAGCCAACGGCTATGGGGAATCAGCTTCGTGTTTGTTATTTTTTCTAGACAGCCGCATTTTAAGTAAGAACAAATTGGTGTCGAACCCTGGGCACGGACAGCAGGGGCCAGCCTCAGCTGCCTTCCCAGGAGCATTAGCAGGGAGCTGGAGCAGAAGCCAAGTGGCTGGGTCTTGAACCAGTACTCCAGTACCGGATGCCGGCCTTGCAGGGGGCGGCTCAGCTCACTGCGCCACAGCGCCGGCCCCCACTTCCTCACTCTCCTCCTTTGGAAGGCGCCAGGATTAGCAGGGAAGGAGGCGATGAGAGTCTAATCTACCGACGGCAGCAGATGCTACCGCGGCTGGCAGATGCCGCGTTACCGAGGACAAGGATGTGGTCCCTGGCTTCCAGTGGGCGAGGAGCCTGGCTCGGGCCGCCGTGCGCTCAAAGCTGTAACAGACAAGGACACTGGCATAGCTAAGTGTGGGCTGCGTGGAGTGGGGCAGGAAGAGGATGCGGAACTTGAGGTCCCTGGGCCCAGCGCATCTGCTCCCTGGCTGTGAAAACAGCGACAAGCTGCACAATTCCTCTCAGCTCCCGAGTTCCGTGGGCGGGCGCTGGGAGAAGCCCGCGGCTCACCACTCTCCCTTCCCGCTCCGCCTCTGCCAGGCCCTCCGTGGGCAGAGACTGCTCCCTGCGCTCAGCCCGCCGCCTCGCGAGTGACAGCGGCCACTCCAGAGCACGGCTGGCATTAAGTGACTTGGCTTCCCCTCCTCTCGTCCCGCCAGAAGGGCACGCTCTGAGGAGCTGCTTGTCTGAAGGCAGGGAGCCGCACGGAACAGCCCTGAATCCCACCCACAGCCCCAGGAGTGAGAAAACTGGATGCCTCGAGAAGACCCGGAGATTTGGGGAGTGTAGACACAACATGAAACGCCTGGCAAAGTGCAGGCCGCAGGAAGCATTCACAGGCCAAGGGCAGCCTTGTGGAGGCAGCACACATGGCCATGGGCTTCAAGGTCAAGGCCCCTGTGACCTTGATCCCATCGCTCTGCAGCTCTGAGCCAGCATCTTCCTTCGCATATGGAGGGCTACTGTGATGAGGATCAAATAAAACAACAGTGTGAGTGAGCGCTCAGAGCCCTTGCAGAGCCCAGCGGGTGCTCAGCCAGCACCGGCGGCAGTCTGCTTCATTTCACACACACACGCGCGCACACACACACTCACACATACACACACACACTCACACACACATATACACACTCACACCCACACACGCGCACATACACACACTCACACACCCATACACACGCACATATACACACTCACACACCAACACGCACATACACACTCACACACACGCACATACACACACTCACACACTCATATTCACACACTCACACATTCTCACATACTCACAATCACATATTCACACACTCATACAATCACACACTCTCACACACCCACACACACGCACATACACACACCCACACACATACACACACCCACACACATTCACACACCCACACACACGCACATACACACACCCACACACATACACACACCCACACACATTCACACACTCACACACATGCACATATACACACTCACACACCCACACACATGCACATACACACAGTCACACACCCACACACACGCATACACACACTCACACACTCATATATTCACACACACAACACTCACATTCTCACATACTCACAATCACATATTCACACACTCATACAATCACACACTCTCACACCCACTCCCACACACTCACACACTCACAATCACATTCACACACACAAACTGACACACACTCAATCACACACACGCAATCACACAGACTCATAATCACATACTCACAATCGCATACTCACAATCACACACACAACACACACACTCACACACAGTCAACACACATCCCTACATACATAGTCACAATCACAAATTCACACACCCACACACATACAATCACACACTCTCACACCCACTCCCACAACTCACACTCACGCAATCACAATCACACATTCACACACACACATACACACACTCACAATCACACACAATGACACTCTCGTACCCCCACACTCACACACACGTGCTGGCTGGGAACTGTCCCATCCCCCTCCTCATCTTACCCCCCCATGGTTAGTACAAGGGGGAATCTCAGAAAGTTTGTGGAAACATGGAGTTAAAAGGAAAGCATAATTTTGGTGCAAAAAAAAGTGTAAAATCCATGCATAGTTTTTACATAACAAGTAGCTTCCATGAACTTTTTGAAGACTAAGCCAATTTTACTTGGTGAACCTTTTTTAATCCCAGAATGAACTTATCTTCTAATTCCATTTTCCACAAACTTTCTGAAGCGCCCTCGCTTTATTGTTTTCCTGTCTTATACAAACTGTGCAGACAGAGGCACCCCACTTCTCTGCCAGATTAGGGGGCGGGGGACAGGAAGCCCGCGAAGGGGCTGGTACCCGAGCTGAAGCCAGAAGTCAGAGGTCAGGGCCCCAGCATGCTAGGCGCTGGGGGAATGAGGCTTGGTGGCCCTGGCGGAAACCCTCCTCCAGGGTCCCACCTGCGAGAGGGCGGAGCCACAGCTGAGGACAGGCGCCTGAAACACCGCCCACTTCCGGCCGCTGTCACCGGCGGGTACACAACCAAAGAGGAACAGGTGCGAGGAGGAGACGTACCATAGAACAGCGGGTCCCGGGGCGGTTTTCTTTTGACAAGGACCCGGGCCAGCAAGGCCACCAGCAGCAGGATGAAGGCAGCCACCCCTACAATTGTCCAGGAGCTGCAACAACCAGAAGAGGGAGGCGGTCATTTAGGAAAACAAACACCGGGTGCCTGCAACTTCCTGACCATTGAATTTACTGGCCGGCCGGGGCCTCAGGGACGGCCTTTGGCCTCTGCCTGCAGCTCTGTCACCATACAGGCAGGGACATTCCTCTGCCACCCTCCGGGCCAGAGCCCGGGGACTTCAGGGGAAGGGAGCCACCAGGCCCTCAGCCTCCACGTGTCCTGACCAGTCTCCTGTGCACAGGCATTAGGTCTGGAGCGCCCTCTACCCCACCCCCACTGGCCCTTGCGGGCTCCACCTACCCTCTTCCAACCCCAGTGCCCCATCGCTTGCTTCCTCCAGGCCAGCCAGAAGAAATACACAGACAGAGCTCCCTGCCCCCACACACACCTTCCGGGGCACAAGGGCAAGGTCACGTGTACTAGAGGACTTCAAATGATTCGTGAGAAAATGGAATTTGAAGATACGTTCATTTCAGTGCAAAACAATTTTGAAACACATGCATAGTTTTTCTCATGATACACTATGGGTTTTCTAGAAAATTCTTCAAGACCCCTTGTATATCCAAACAGGCCAGAGGGTGAGGCCAGGAAATCCTAGGAGGAGGAGAGTGTGGGCCAGGCCTGAGGCCAGCGTGGAGTCAGCCCACACCAGGGCCAGCCTGGTCTCCAGCAGCAAACCAGGGGCACAAACCCCAGATCTGCTCCCGGGAAAGGCAGGGTGGCAGGGAGACCCCGCGGAGCAGGGCGTGGGCAGTCAGGAGGCTGGACCCTGGCGCCCTCTCCAACTGCGTGACCGTGGCAAAGTCACATCCTCTGCACTCATCTGGTTATTAATTTACTGAAAAACCTACTGAGAAAAATCCGTACCCTGCATGCCTCTGTGGCAGGTCCTGGGGACACCATGTATACAAGGGGCTCCTGTCTGCACGGGAGACCCACCTCAATAACTCCCACCTCCAGGAGGTTACTTCCTTCCCACACCTCCAAAAACAGGGCCCCCAGCTCTAGACAAAGAACCACCTGAGGCCACACCAATGGCCTTCATGGCTACACCAGGACTTACCATCTTCAGAGCTGCAGAAAGTGCCTCTCCTGAGCCGACACCACCCCCCGCACACACGCAACACACACACACCAACACGGCAACCTGACACTGGACTTTGGATAACCTTTGCCATATGCCCCAGGATAAAGGAAGAGGACGGGAAGGAAAGAGGTTAGGAGCGAAAGTGGAAAGGAGGGAGGGAGGGAAATGGATGTTGGATGAGTAGGTGGATGTTGGATGGATGGTGGATGATGGATGGATAGATGGATGGATGGATGGTGGATGACAGATGGATGGATGGATGGGTGGGTGGTGGGGATGGATGGATAGATGATGGATGGATGGTGGATGACGGATTGATGGATGGATGGATGTTGGGGATGGATGGATGGTGGGTGATGGATGGATGGTGGGTGATGGATGGATGGATGGATGGATGGTGGATGGTGGATAATATGGATGATAGCTAATGGATGGATGGATGGATGGAAGGACAGAGAGCTGTGTGATAAGAATGAGAATGGATGGCCGTGTCGAATCTAAAAGCTAGGAGGCTCCCGGTAGTGCACATCCGTGAGTGCTCCACGCTCCTCCTTAGGGATGAGCCAAAGGGAAGGCTGGTGTGGGTCAAGAACATGACCCTGGGCTGAAGCGCCTGGGAGGGAGGAGGTCAGAGGTCAGGCACGCTGCAGCACTTTCATGAAGAACAGCCTGAGGCAGGTGGTGGGCTGCTCCTACCAAGAGCCCGATTTCACAGGCAGCACAGTCACACGGCCGGTGCCCTGGTGGAGCAGGGGGAAGCCGTGCAAACTGGTTCACAGCATCCCCTGTGCACGCCACCTCTAGGGAGGAGGAAAGAGCAAAGGGAAACTGGGGCGGCAGGTCCCTGGGGACCTCCCGCAGCAGCCAAGCACAGGATCTGCTCAGGTCAGCGGGAGTGGCCAACAGAGGGACTGGCCAAGCAGGGACTCGGGCAGGCAAGCCCAGAGTGACATGGTTGTTAGTCTCGGAGGGGCGGGGGTCACAGATGCCCTTCCAGGAACAGACACCTCCCAAGGAGGGGCACGGATGGATGCGTAGGAGCAGTGTGTGTGTGTGTGTGTGTGTGTGAGAGAGAGAGAGAGAGAGAGAGAGAGAGTCCAACCCTTCCTGACCTACCTCCTCCCCACCTTCCCACCTAATTTGCCTTTTCTGTTTTTCAGACTTTCACAAAGTCTGAAATGTAACCAGGCGCCCACTCTGCACAGGTGCTGGGTTGGGCAGACAAAACCAAGGTGAGCCGCAGCCTGGGGAGGTACGTTCCAGCCCCAAGGAAGGAACTCTTGTGGGAAAGGTGCGATCCAGAGGCTGGGGTTGCTCCAAGAGGAGAGGCACCCCTCACTTGGAGGGAGAGCCTCAAAAGGAAGGGGCGGGGTTTTACTCTGTGTGGGCCACGCAATGGCTTCAACCGTCAGTGCCCCCAGGGAGAGAGGCGGCACCCCAGCAAGGAGGCAGGGGAGGGCCAGGCAGGTTCAAGGGGCAAGGTCACTAGCATGGTGGGTGGGGCCTTGCCTGGGAGCCTCTGCCACAGGCTAAGTCAGAGAGGGCTAGAGCCACAGAGCAGGGAAGGGAGGGGACAGACACCAGGCCAGTCCCTGCACCTGTGGGGCAGGGGGTGGTGAGAGGGGAGTGAGGGTCTGAGGCCACTGGAATTCTAACCTACAGGAGGGCGGGAGGAGCAGCTGGAACCAACGCTTCAAAGACGCGGCAGGGCTTAGCAACGCGATCCGTACAGCCCAGCAGTACCCAGTTCTGTCCCCACCAAGGCAGATGCAAATGCCGTTGTCTCTTCCCAGTGGCTGAGGCCGAAACCCTGGAGTCCTCTGCAAATCCCCCTGCTCTCCTCCAAGATACCTGACAGGTGCACCCACTTCCTCCCGCTCTGCTCCCCGTGTTTCCCAGCACTGGCGTCCCCTCCTCCAGGAAACCTCCCCTGGCCACCAGCCCCCTTCCCGTCCCCATCTCTTCATGCATTTGTGGATGTCTGTCTCAACCTTTTTTTTTTTTTGAAGGGCAGAGACACAGACAGAAGTGACCCATCCACAGGGTCACTCCCCAGATGCAATGGCCAGGGCTGGTTCAGACAGAAACTCGTAGCCAGGAACACCATCCAGGTTCTCCCTCCCCCGTGTGAGGCTGCTCCCCATCACCGGGGCCATCATCTGCTGCCTCCCGGGGTCTGCCTTAGCAGGAAGCTGCAGTCGGGGGCAGCTGGGAATTAAACCCAGGTGTTCCAATGTGGGACACAGCTCTTCACCACTCAGCCGAACACCAGTGCTCCCTCCTCCACCCCCGGCCTTTTCTGGCTTGGTCACGGCTATGTCCCCACACTTGGAACAGCCCAGGATACAGGAGGCAGCCAGTAAATAGTCACTGAACTGCCCATAATGCCACTTGAGGGGCACAGGGTCCCCTTGGGCAGTCCAGTGGCAGACACTTAACAGGAGAGGCATGGAGAGGCAGCAGGAGGAGGGCAGGCACCGCCCGCGCACAGGGAACCCCGGTACAGGTGCTTCCGGGGACAAGGTGGCCCCAGCGCCACACAGGAGTCCCTGCTCTGCTGTAGACACTCAGCGGCTGTCAGCTGCAGCCTGCAGACTGATGCAATTTCCTTAGCACCAACCGCCAGCCTCCCCCCACCACGGCAGGCCCTGAAGCTGTCCCCTTTCCCTCTGCGCCCCTGGGGCTTTGGGCTGCCCCTGCAGAGCTGAGACCCCAGGCGGGGCTTCGGACCCAGGCTCAGGGCCCCTCCTTCGGCCCCACCCACCTCCCTGTCCCCACTTCTCCTTTCGCGGCCGCGCCTACACACACAAGCCTCCCTGCATCCTGACCACAGGATGCAAACAGAGCCCACTTAGCAGACGAGAAAAGCGAGGCCAGGCCCCAGCGATAGTGCCCAAACCAGGCCTGGAACCCACGGCCCTGCCTGCTGGCTCGGGGCGACTCCTGCGCGTCAGCCACAGTAGTTTCTAAAATTAATAAGAAATGGTGAGTATGTGGAAGTCCATACATGGAAACTTCCCGGTGAAATGGGGAGGGGAGGAGGCGGCCGGCTGGCAGCGGGGCCAGGCTCCTCGCCTCCGCGTTGGTCCGCTCCCCACCGGCGCCCCACCGCGCTGCCCAAGGACAGGGGCATCGCCCCGTTGACCTCCGTGACCCGGCCACGCGCGCGGGGCAGGCAAGAGGCAGGCACCCGGCAGTCGCCCCCTCCCGCCCCCGGCAGGCGGCGTAGACCCCGGCCCGCGCGCCCCCAGGCGGCCCCGGTTCCCTGCGTCCCGGTGCGGGCGGACTCGGGGCCCCATCGCAAAGTTGCCCGAGCTCCCGCCGCGCCCCGCCGGCCCCGGGCGCGACCCCCGCGGCGCCCGCCACTCACTCGCGCTGGGCCGCCAGGTGGTTGAAGACGTAGGTGACCGGGATGGCCGAGAGGGACAGCACGAAGACCCCGGTGGCCGCCGAAGCACTCATCGCCGCCGCCGCCGCGCCGCTCGCTCCTCACCGCATCCCGCCCGCGCCCCGCCCGCTTCCGGCGGCGCCCGCGCCCCGCGGCGTCGGCCCTCGGAGCCCCGGCCGCGCCCCGCCCCGCGCGCCCCGCGCCGCGTCCCCGGCCGCCCGGAGCAGCGCCGCGGTGCAGTCCCGGGAGGCGCCCTCGCCTCGCCGCTGGCCCCTTGGCGCCGGTCCCGCCCCGGCACAGGTGCCCCCGGCGCGCGCCCGCGGCGGGACGGCGGCCCCAGGCGCACCGCGGAGCTGACGGTCACGCGGCGGCCGGACCCGGGGCTGTCGGAGCGGGAGGGGCCTGGGACCGGGTCCCCAGCGGGACCAACGCTCGGGCGACCTTGGGAGGAGCTGGCGAAGAATCGGAATCCTGGTTTTAAACCCTGGGTGCCCACTCACCGGCTGTGACTCTTGGCCAAATGACTTAACCTCTGTGCGTGTCTTCCCTGTGGTCACCCCCTCCACGCAAGCGCGAGGGAACGCAGGGCCCCGAATCCTTGCGCCTGGGGCTGCCTAGGATATCGAAATCCAGTGAATCTACCGCAGGCTAATCTGTAAATTGAGGATTTTGTACGGCCCGGGATAATGTTCTCATTATCCAAATGTCCCTTGGGAGCAAACAGGCTGGCCACCCCTGCGCAGGACACTGGAGTCGGACCCTGCCCCGCTCTTCCCGTCTCTGGGTTGGGGGGGGTGGCAATGAAGCTGCCCCCCAGGGCAGTGCGCGATTGCGGGGCAGGGGTAGGTAGGGCTCTGCTGGTTTCTATTCCAGGAAGCTGCTGGAGGCCAGGCTGCCACCAAAGGAGCCCGGTGGACCCGAGGGGGAACAAAGGCTGGGAGGCCAGGGCGGGCCTCGCAGCGCGGTCGCGGTCACGGTCACAGCTCCTGCTGGGGCGGGGGCGGGAGGGGGGCTGTGGCTGCCGTGTGCAGCCAGGGTCCTCACCTGCCCGGGGCTGCCGGAGGGTGGGGAAGGGAGTTTCAGACGCGCCTAAGAGAGGGGCACGGGTCTGTACTTGGGGCAGGGGGACTTACTGCTGGGCTTGTGTTGGCCATGAGGGGAAATGAGCCACAAAGCAGACAGCCCCAGGGCCACCGGGCTCAGCAGGTGGGTCTCCCTACGTCTGAGCTCCCGACGCCAAAGCTTCATCCAGAAATGGCGGCACCTGTGACCTGCCCATCACGCTCTTCCACGACCACTGCTGAGGGTCACCATTCTCCTTAAACCCCTCCCTGCAGGCGATGAAGGCAGACATCTCTGAGCCCCTGTGCCTCCCCCTTGCTAATCTGAGGCCAGCCCCCCCCCCCCCATCAGTCTGCTTTGTGCCTGGAACCCCCAGAACCCTCTGCATCCTATCCCTGCCACAGACACCTGCTCAGGCATCCCCAGGGCCTGAGCTTTCTCCCCACGTGCCACCTTCTCCTTCTTGTCTCGTCCACGCGTAGTTCTTCTGACCACGTGGACGCTGGCAGATCCCATGTCACCCTTCCCAGCTCTCGGCTCTTCCCTCGGCATCACTGCCTGGGCCTCCTTGTGCTCAGCACGGGGTCCCCCACCTGCCTTAACTCATCCGGCAGCACCACCATGCACCTGCCGCCCAAGCCAGCGACAGGGGAGTCCCCCTCAGTCCCCGCCTCCCCAGATTCTTGTCCTTACAACAGTTACTTTCCAAATGTCACTCAAGTCCATTTGCTCCTCCCATTCTGCACCACCTCTTGGTTCTGGTCCACACGGCCTCCCAGTAGACATGTCCCAGCCTCCACCCTGGGCTCCCTGCCCCAACCTCACTGCACCTGACCAACCTCCTGCACTTCCCCATCCTCTTCACCAAGCACCATTCCTTTCTCTCTCTCCCTCTGTTTTTAAATTTATTTTTATTTGTATAAAAGGCAGAGTTAGAGAGGAGAGACAGAGAGATCTTCCATCTGCTGGTTCACTCCCCAAATGGCTGCAATGGCCAGGGCTGGGCCAGACTGAAGCCAGGAGCCAGCAGCTTCCTCTGGGTCTCCCACGTGGGTGCAGGGGCCCAAGCATTTGGGCCATCTTCCGATACTTTCCCAGGCATATTAGCAGGGAGCAGGATTGGAAGTGGTGCAGCCGGGACTTGAACTGGCACCCATATGGGATGCCAGCACCACAGGTGGTGGCTTTACCTGTCATGCCACAGCGCTGGCCCCTGTTTCTTTCTTTTTTGTTTCCAACTTAATTTTTTAGATAACATTTTTAATTTACATTGTATTTAAATTCTTAATATCTGACTAAATAAACTGTTCAACAAACAAAAGTAAAAAGACTAGTTCTGGAGGAAAACAGGCAAGGGCTACAAATAACAACCAGACGAAGACGTTCAGCTCCACTCATACAGAGCACATTTTAAAATGGTCACAAAATCATGAAAACTACAGCAGTATATAATTCCTATCAATTTTTACACAAATATTTAAAAGCAAGCTTGACAGTACACCGTATCTGCAGCAAAATTGATATACAAAGTCATTTCTTTCTTTATTGTGATTTTTTAAGATGTATGTACTTATTTGAAAGAGAGGGTGAGGCAGAGTTAGAGAGAAAGAGAGAGAGAGAGAGAGAGAGAGAGAGAGAGATCGATCTTCCATGTGCTGGTTCACTCCCCAAATGGCTGCAATGGCTGGGGCTGGGCCAGGCTGAAGCCAGAAGCCTCATCCGGGTCTCCCACATGAATGCAGGGGCACAAGGACTTGAGCCATCTTCCTCTGCTCTCCCAGGCACACTAGCAGGGAGCTGGATTGAAAGAGGAGGAGCTGGGACTCGAACCAGTGCCCCTATCGGAATGGCAGTGCAGCAGGGGGCGGCCCCACCTGCTACACCACAATACTGGTCGTTCAGTTTTATTTTTTTAATTTTAGCTCCCACATCTAAAGGAGAATATGTGGTATTTGTTTTTCTGTGTCTGGCTTATTTCACTCAACATAATATCCTACAGTTCCAACCATTTTGCTGCAAATGATAGAATGTCATTCTTTTTCATAGCTGAATAATGTTACATTGTGTATATGTAAAAGTGGGTATATATCTTTATATTTCTTTATCTTTCCCCTTGGTTGATTCCCTGTTTTGGCCATTGCGAACAGTGCTGCTATAAACACGGTGGAAGCACCATTACTTTCCTTGTAGCACTTCTATCTACTTCTGCATTTATTTCCTAGTCTGTGCCCCTCCCACCCTAATAGAAGTTCTGAGGTAGGAAACTGTGTATGTCTTGTACCGTTCTCCTCATCGACATGCTTTCTATTCCTTTTTCCATTCTAGGTTTTCTGCCTATCTCAATCCAGACTTTCCCATTGCAAGTGTTCGACGGCCACCGTGGCTGGCAGCTTCTGGATTAGACATCGCCGCTCAACACTTCCTCATCCTGTCCTACTGGCTTCACTCGTGCCCTCTGCTACTGGCCTCGTGGCAGGTTAAGCTGCCCGCTGCAATGCCAGCTTCCCACATGAGCACCAGGAAATCCCTGCTATTCTGCTTCCAATCCAGCTCCCTGCTAATGTGCCTGGGAAAGCAGCAGAGGATGGCCCAAGTGCTTGGGCCCCTGCCACCCATGTGGGAGACCCGGATGGAGCTCCAGGCTACCGGCTTCAGCCTGACCCAGCCCTGGTTGTTGTGGGCATTTGAGAAGAGAACCAGTGGGTGAAAGCTTGCTCTTTCTCTATAACTCTGCCTTTCACATAAATAAAATAAATTCTTTTAGATATTTATGTCAAAGGCAGAGCTGAGAGGGGGGGAGGATTTTCCAACTGCTTGTTCTCTCCCCAAATGGCTACAATGGCCGGGACTGGGCCAGGCAAAGCCAGGAGCCAAGAACTCCATCCAGGTCTCCTACATGGGTGGCAGGGGTCCAAGCCTGTGGGCCATCCTCCACTATTTTTCCAGGTGCATTAGCAGGGAGCCAGATCAGAAATGGAGTAGCAGGGATTTGAACTGGCGCTCCTATGAGAAGCTGGTGCTACAGCCGGCAGCTTAACCTGCTGCACCACAGTGCAGCCCCAAAGAAAATCTGGAAAAAAAGAAAAGAATAGATGAGATATTTAAATCATTGATCAATCTATTTACTCCACAAGCAACCTCAGAGAGCCTACCGTGTTTCCAGTACTGGGCTAAGTATTGAATTAGGTGGACCACAAATATTTCCTGCCCAAGAAGGTCACAGTCTAGTAGGAGGCAGACAGGTCCGTCCACATTTAACAGACAGTGCAAGGGGACTTGAGAGAAGTCCTAGGAAAACGCATTAAAGTTGACTTGAGCGCAAAAACAATTTTTGAAATCCCTGCACAACTTTTTGTGGCCTGCATTTTCCACCACCTTTTTGAAAGCCGCTCGTTTGTACAAATTGTAGGAACCCGTCAGGTCTGTCTGGAGGAGCCCAGCAAAGCCTGGCAGGAGTGAGGCTTTCTAGACGTGCCTTGAAGTAGAACCCGGCCAGGCCGATGAGGAAGAAGAAGAGGTGAAGACGGCTCTCGGCACAGGCAAAGTGTGTGAGAGAACACCTCACTTCGGGAGCTCTGGGACATCAGGCGGGAGGGGAAGATGGAGCGGTGGGAGGGGCCTCTGTCTCAGAGACGCCCAGGTGCGGGGAGCCATTTAGTTTTCCAAGTGGGAGGAGGGCCTGATTTGATCAGAGAGGTTCTGTGAAGCTCCACCTGAAAATTGGTGGTGTTTACAAGGAAGAGAGATGGGAGGCAGGAAGAGCAATCAGGAGGCAAGAGGCTGTGGGACCTGAACCAATGCAACGGCAAAGAAAGGGAAGAGATGGGGTTGGTGCTGTGGTGTAGGGGTAAAGCCACCGCCTGCAGTGCCAGCACCCCACACGGGCACCAGTTCTAGTCCTGCCTGCTCCACTTCCGATCCAGCTCTCTGCTGTGGCCTGGGAAAGCAGTAGAAGATGGCCCAAGTCCTTGGGCCCCTGCACCCGTGTGGGAGACCTGGAAGAAGCTCCTGGCTCCTGGCTTCTGATAGGCTCAGCTCTGGCCATTGCAACCATTTGGGGAATGAACCAGCAGATGGAATATTCTC